AGGGTTCATGCACCAGAAAATGTCGTTGCACGATTATAATTATTACCTTCGGGCGGGTGAGCGACCAACAACGTTGTCCTCCTGTAGGGCCGTCCTTCCTAGCTAGCATACATGGCTCGTCATGCAGAGCAATCCTAGTCCTTCTTCCCACCTAAGTTATACAAGAAGCAAGTTATAATTTAAACTATAATTTCTTTTGTTATTTAATCAGATGTACTCCTCCGGTCCTTAATGTAAGACCCATTTAACTAATTTGATTAAATTAAGGAAGTTAGGTAAGTTAGTTAATTATAAGAAAAGTGATACATTTTTCCTAAAACACCATAATCATCTTTTTTAATACCTCATCTCCCTCTTCTATTTGATTATGGTTGAGGGAGTATCTACAGGAGTAATTTAGAGAAAATTGATAAATATGAGAAATGGGTCTTATATTCAAGACCAAAACCAACTTAAGAATTGGGTCCTATATTAAAGACTGGAGGAGTATTATTATTCTTAATTAATAACTTGATATTATATTATATGTGAGAATAATGCGTGATCATTAATTAAGTTTGTATACATTTAGAAAGTGGTGTTTTTTTTTGTATCCTAATGCTTTTTTTTTCAAATGAATATTGAATGGGGATTGTTATAGTTTTTAATGATCAAATACAATTTATTATCTTATAGTATGATTTTTTCTCTTCAGGATATATAGGCTAAACTTGACGATCTTATATACTGTGCAGGGACTGGATCGCAAAAACCAGGCAAGACCAAGCTTATGACTACAAAATCATGATGTTAGCGTTTGGATGATGAACGCCGTCGATTTACACTGACTCTTGCACAAATAAATGAGCCCTTCGTTGCAATTAATAGAATATTTAGATGTTTATCAAAGTCAAATGATATATATCCCTCACAACAAATCTAGATCAGATCATATATAATGTATTTTATTTGGTCAACGCATGATGGGTGTAGTACTTGATGCTTAATCTGAAAAATTATAGATATAATCCCCTTGATAACTTCAGAATACTGTGGTAATTAATTAAAGACGCATTAGTTCGACGTTCACACACTGAGAGATTATTGACGCAGTAATTAATTAACCCCACTGAGTATGCATGGTTCCTAATCAGCCTACAAGATCTACGTCGTCGATCCTGCTCAGGTTTCAGTTGATACGCTGGAAAAGTTATACACATGTCAAATCAACTTGTATTTTAGCCCTCGTCATGCCTTGGATTTCAATCTCGAATCATATAATATGCTCTTCTGGCCCTCATTTCCCATATATTTCACACGTACCCGTAAAAATTTTAAATTTTATCAATTCTTATTTAAAATTTAATAATTTTTTAATTTTATTCTGTTTAATATACAATGTATCTCATGGGAATAAAATCAATACAATAATAAATGAAGAATAAAATCGTATATTCACATGAAAATTTTCTCTCTTCACCCCATAAATAAGACTATTGGAATAATTAACAAGTCTCAAATAATTTTAAAATTATTATCAATATACTAAATAAATTCATTTTTAAAAAATTATCCAATTAAGGTGTGTTTGTATATCAGTATATATGTATGTATGTATACGGCGTACAGAAGCAAGAGCCCCTAATTATACGCCAGAGCTAACACATTGGAAGACGCGGAAATTAAGAATAAGAGGGAGCTGGTTAATTTAATTATTTCTATAACGAAGGCCTTTGGAAGCAGTTGAATAATTAGTGATTCTAATATTTTTGGACACAGCCTAACAAAGTCAAAATTATTTGATAATAGGAATCCAAATCCCTTGATTCTTGATTGAGGGATATTAGTACCCATCGAATCGTGATATAATGATATTAAGTGAAAAATTACGAATTTGTTTCTTAAAAATGTAAACGAAGGTATTTATTCTAACACCGCTAGGTATTACGATCTCATAGTTAATATCTTTTAACTGAGGCTCGATCGGAACTGAAGATATATAGTAAGATTCTCGGACAGTATTCTCTACTTGTTTTTGCCGTTTGTTGTGTGCTTTTTCCCTCACTGTACACCCAAAAATATCAAGTGCAAGTGACGTATACTACATATAACGCATCGAATGAACAAGTGATCTTATTGACAAGGCGTGAGCGAATAATGTAGATTTGATTAATTTCACACACTCTCTCTCTCTACACAAGCACACAGAGTTAGCGCGGCAAGAATTTGTTAACAACGATATCTATGGACTGGGTTAATTCAAAGTGAGCCGTTTTTTCAATTCATCAGGTGTCTATCAGAAAAAAATGGTGGGTTTGTGCTGTAATCGCTGGGTGTAAATCATTTTGTTATTACCCAAAGCAAATCAACCTCAAGTAGATTCTGGGTTATATGTACTCTGACGAATGAGGCTTCTCTCTCTCATCGATCACTCCAAACAAGTCCATTCCTGTCCCCTTTTCTCCGTTTTGCTTTCCCAACGTCCAAACACAAACAACCAAAGCAATCCCAAGAGAGACGTCGTCCTTATGTGGGCTACCTTGCTTTTTCTTGACGGGGACGGGTTCCAGTCAAGTCCGATGCACAAGCTTAAGCAGTACACCCTCCTATATATATGTGTGTGTATATATCTATATACCGATCAAAATGGCCCAAGGGAATTTGTTTTCCCCACTTGCCTGGTTCGTTTTATTGTTTTTTTAATTTCAGATAAGTAATTTCAGATAAGGCCTGTGAGCCAAGTAACAAAATATCTGTGAGTTTTCAAAAGTTGTGCGCGATGCAGAATGGCCTCGTATGTGAAAAAGACAAGGACATTGGTTAGTGCGATCTGACCTGGATTGGGTGGGTTCATGTTTCTTATCACAAGACCCCAACCACACAATGGCAAATTGAAGCATAGCTTTGCAAGTAGTATTAAGGTCTTCTAAAATCACTGTTATGATTAGAGATATCGATCCATGCATTCAGCTATTGACCGCTTAGGTCCGTGAACTTTATATAGCAGAACAAATTATATCCATGCCTATGTTAATGTTCGGAACCCTTGATTCGTTAAAATACTCTCGCACTGAGATCAAAGGGTTTTCAAACATGAATGAACGATTCCAGTCTATATTACTGGCTCCCGTCCTAAATGTAAAATCCACTTTGTACTGTAAAATTTGCATTACAAAGTGAATATTATACTTATGAGCGAAGCTAGTATACAGCTAGCTAGAGAGGCTTTGACGAAGTAAACGACATGAACTCCATTTGGTGTCAATCATGTACGCCGCACATGTAAGGAAAAGAACGTTTCGTCTATGGGCGTCGACATTGGAATGTAATGCAGGAGCAATGGATTTCTGGAAAGAATGCTGTGATTAGTGCGTGGCCCCGGAATGTTTCACGCTTCCAAGTTGGGCAAGTCTTGTCGTTTTGCTCTTGATGCGTTGGATGTATATTGTATAGGTAGGTCCGTCAGGTCCACTCTAAATTAAAGCTCCGATCAATGTTGGAATTGGAGCATCGTGAGATCATCAGCGACAAGCTACAGTTTCAACAAACGGTTCATATTTTGCGACCTGTCACGTTATCACTTCTCGCTGGTTTTTCGGTTAGCTATTCCCTAAACTATGAGCGATTTCCTTCACAAACCTTGGACTTTCTTCTGAGGGCTCCTTATGATTATTGTCCACAAAACAAAAGACATTACTTCATTATTTGGCAGTTTCTTCCGGTTATTGTGAAGCATTTCAGGAATACGTAGGTGCAACACGTATGTTATAATTGTACCGCAGAATCTGCCGACAGTATTTATTACCAATGATCAAATTCAGAAAAAAAAATTATTTAAAAATTTAGTTATTGTTAGAGCACGGTATGTTTTATTCACATGTAGCCCACTCCATGTGATGGGATAAACACGTTATTATTATTGTTTCAAATTAAAATAAAAAAAAAAGAGGCATTTCCAAGTATCATGATGCTATTTTTCAATGGACGGTCCATAAACAAACGCGATGGGGCGTACAATTACGCTCTTAGTTATTGGGCCTCACTAGGTTGGACTTTGTCAACCTATAGTGGCGACCAATTGGGCTAGTTTGTGGCACCATTCTGTTCCCCAATCTGTTTACCACCGATATAAATTGCCCAGAATTTAAACAACGGGAACTGGTCCAAGTAGTAAGCGGCTTGGTATCGTTTAAACGAAATCTCGAGTTCGGGTCTCAGCGTATACAAAAAATTCCTGTTGGAAAACTTACCCACCATAGCCAGATGTGCAACACGGGTCGGATCCAAATATAATCAGAGCAAAACTCCGGTGAACTGGGTGGGCAATTAAAAAAAAAATTGCCCAAAATATTATGGTTTAAACAATATATAATACTCCCAAATGCGCCACCCGCACGTCCAGAAACATACAAACGCATGTATATGTTTTTTATGCTAAATACATATAACATTTTAATTGTATTTTAGAGTTCTCTTGTACAGTCCAGAAAATATTAAATGCCCGGTAGTTTGCTATATATATGTGTGTGCGCGCCGTTAATCGGCAGCTATATATCGGCTTCCCCCTTATCCTCCGCGATGGAAGTTTGAGGTAAATACCGCAAATCATGAAGCATCTTTTGAGGCTATTATTTCATGATTAATTAGCATATTATAACTCGAGGTCGAAACGAAGGGATTGATTAATCAAACATAGTTCAGGTGGGGGCAACTTACTTTTTTTAACTTAAAGTTACCATATTCCACCTACTCATTTAATTAGTTTAATTATAGGACGACGCACTTTTTAAAAAATTAAAAACCTTGAGTACCCATCAATTCACATCTACTCTACCTAATTGTTTTGGACGATGCTACATTAACAACTAAATCATTCGCCATTTGTTACCCTATCCATTTCCCCTGATAATTCCAAAACAATATTCAAACAAAATGGAGGCGGAAGAGCACAGTCACGGCGAGTAAAATTTCAAGCGGCAGTGAAAAAAGCAGAACACAGAGAGGCCAAGTCGTTTAACCAATTTGGTAGGTAAAACTGGTAACGATAAATAACTGATTTTCGTCCCAATATTACATGTCATGCACGTAAGAAACAAATAAGTAATAAAGAATAAAAGAAAAAGGCGTAGTTATGGTTGAGTGAAAGGGGGCATGTGGATGGTGGGACATTGAAAACTATAAAACGGACTCAACAAAAGACTTGCTTTCCAATTTCTTAATGATATGTACACCCTCGAGCATCAATTATTAAACAAATCCCATTGCATTATTGATTCTTCAATTTGTTGTTTCGAGACCAGTCCCGAAAACAAGGAACTTTCCTACCTCTATACTTTTCCCTTTCTTTTTCACGCATGGACAACTCCAAAGGCTATCTTCCTTCCTTTTTCTTCTTTTATTTTTTTCGGAAAGGAATAAATTATACTAACAAGAGAAGGGTTGAATTGAAATATGTACCAGTTTTGAGGGTAAAGATAGCATAATTATTATTATTACTACTAGGAAGCAAAAGGAGCTCTATGAGGAATTCCTTTTCTTCTTCTTGCAGAGGAAGCAGGTGGAGGAGGAGGCGTGGCCGGATACATATCTTGTTGTGACCCTTCACGCAATTCTTCTTCTTGTCTGGAAGACACTGATCCCAAACCAAAGTTCGCATTCCCATTCCTCTTTATTCCTTCAAGCTAATTAAATCATGCAGTTCCCAGCAGAATCTTTAGTACATATATTCAACTCAAGTCTCGTCTCATGTTCTCATTAAGGGGTTGATAATATAATTATGTATATGTCACCATTAATTAAAGGTCAGTGTTATAATGAGGGATTAATTATATATATTAATTAAGACGAGGGTGTTATATAGGGAGAGAGATTGAGACGATGATGAATAGTGGTGGGAATATGTATATAATGATGATGGGGAATGTGATGGTGATGGGTTTGGAAATGTAGGTGAAGGTGTGTGGGTGGTGGGTGTTATAGGCATATGAAGGGAAAGCATGGTTGAGTTGTGAATGATGTGCATGTTGACAGTGATATATATGGAAAAACATTTTTGTGAGGCGAGAGAGAGAAGGGAGAGAGATGTCTGACCTTACATCCCAAAGAACAAAAACGAAATGGGTCCAAGAGGCTTCTTCCACAAATCTCGCAAATGTGAGCTCCCCCTCCTTTCCCAGATGATGTTTTTGGCTGAGGCCTCTCATTCAGAAACAGCACTCTCGCACTGTTTATCACATACGTCTGTACTCCACTTATGTCCAGGACCTTCTGGATTTCTGCAACTCTCACCACATCGTGATACGAAGATCTTCTTATCTGCAGATCACACAAGTAATCAACAATATAATGCCGCCCCTTCATGATCGTTATTCACAATTTGAATCATCAATTCTCAAATAATACACACACACACACAGATGATTCACACATCAAAGCACAATGCGCTTCAATTATAGCAATCCGCGCCAGGAAAAAAACAAAACAGATGGGACCTGGATAACTTGATGATCCTTGTGCCTTGAAGAACGGCAGTAAAAGCAAAACGGGTCGCCATTGCAATCGAGACAATACATGTTACACTCGCTCCTGGCGGCGTCTCCGTGAATCCGGCAAACGCTGAAAAACGATGCGTTCAGAAGCGGTTCAAGCCATGGAGGGACCAGCATTGTGTGTTCTGTGCTCAAACGCCAGTTAATGAGATCTTAAAACCTGATCAAACAAATTTCAGAGAGACGAAGATCTGTGAGAACAGAATATATTATACCAGTTTAAGAGGTGAATGTGCGCGGCCGCCGACGGGTTATGGAAGAAGTAATGGTGAAAGGTACAGTTGGAATTAAGTTGAAGGATCGACGGCGTCAATGGCGGAGTGGGAGGGGAGTTGCAGAAGAAAATGCAGAGAAGGAGAAAGACAGAGAGTAAACGGCATTCAACTTGGAACCCAACAACACGCGACTAAAAGGACAGGGGCTCATTATACAAGTGCGGCTAAGGGACCGGGTATTATTGAACGGATGAGATGCGAAGCGGTGGCTGAGTGATTCCCAGAACCGTTGGATCAGGAGAGAGGGAACGGGTGTCGTTGGCGCTTACGCCTCTTCGGATCTTCTTTGCGTTTCTACGGTGGCACTGGCACCGGGTCGGCTACTTGCCTACGCATCACATCCAATAGCTGGATCTTCCAAATTCATCCACGCCCCTGTTGTCCACGTGTCTCCTTCTTCCACGCGGCACCATGTCCACGGTCCATCCTATCCCAATCAGACCTCTCCCTTCGCCCAGAGAATTTTAAATTCGTTTTCTCAATAAGAAATATTTTTTCTTGAGAAAATCTATGTTACGATTGGAATCTATCCATTGTTCTCATGGACCCCGAAAAATAACTTCCAGTATTTATATTTTATAACTCATTCATAACAAGGCTCGTTATATTTATACTGTATATATTATAAATGATAATGAGACGCGGAAATCATATTAAAAGGTTCGTGAATATATATATCGATCACTATACTCAATTTTATTGTTCTGATTTTGTATCTTTTTCAAAATAATATATAGATAATGTTATCTTTTAAAAATTTTGCATGATTCCTCTCGTATCATTATTATTTATAGCAGCTTTTTTTTTAATTTTAACATCATCATGCGAAAATTGTCGTCGTGTGCTCTGATCGACGATTTTAGAATTACTTCTCCAATCCTTAATATAAGACCTATTTAACTAATTTGATTATATTAAGGAAGTTAGGTAAGTTAGTTAATTATAATAAATGTGACACGTTTTTCCTAAAATACCATAATCATCTTCCTTAATACCCCTTCTCTCTTCTACTTGATTATGGTTGAGGGAGTATCCATAGGGGTAATTTAGAGAAAATTAATAAATATGATAAATGGATCTTATATTTAAGACCAAAACCAACTCAACAATTGGATCCTATATTAAGGACCGGAGGAGTATCATATAAAATATAGAGCAGGCAGAATGTCACGTCACGAACATGAATCTTAAGCTTACTTGCCATCAAACTGTCTCGAGTAAATATGTTTTATTGTTCCCTCAATCATATCGTTTTTCTTTGGGGCTAAATATTATGACCCTATCCTATTCTCAGAGGCAACCATAGGGAACAGTACATGGTTTAGCTTATGGGATTCATAATTCCACCAACACGCTGTAATGGATGAACAAGATGCAATTGGATTAAAAACAGAGCTCGATCGTTAGTGTGTTTTAACTTCCACATGAATATTACTACCTCCGATTCTTAATATAAAATCCTATTTGACTTTTATTTTGGTCTTAAATATAAGACCCCAATCCACTTTGTCTCTCATATTTACTCAATTTTTTCTAAGATAATCCTTCTAATAATTATACTCCTAGTTAATACACTTGATTAGCAAGGATATTTTAAGAAAGACAATACCTATTTAGGACAAATAACTAATTCAACTTATTTTTTTAATCTCCTTAAACTAGTCAACTGGCTCTTATAATTAGAACCGGAGGTAGTAGATTAGATTTAGATGCGTCTATTTGGTAACTACCGACTTTGCCCTTTTGTGGCTCCCAACTAAAGCTAAAATCAACCTTTCTGATGTCAGAGAGCCTTTTTTTTGCATTCTTCCTTTCCAGTCTCATGTCGCAAACGTCACAGGCAAACCAAAAACAAAAACATCATATAATCATAATTACTCCGACGGTATAGTTTTTCACCTCTCGTTTAATCTGCTTAAATAATTCACACATATACGTCACCCACTTTTCGAGCATTACCTAAAAGTTGAAACCAAAACCATTGCTTGCGTGAGAAGGAAAGGGTGAACAATGAACTGAACAGGAAGAGAAAATTAAAGCGTGGTGTTGTGAGGATATGAGCAAATTGAAGACGGTAAGCAAAGAGCATTTATCCCGAAGAAAAAAGTAAATGAAAAGAGAAGGAAAGTATCGTTGATTATGTTAAAAGAATGCGAATTATGCGGTAAAACCAGTGACTGAAGCTTCGCATCCAAACAAAGAGCCACAAGAAGAAAAGTGCCTCCTGTCCTATATACCTCACAGTACACGTTATAAAAATAGCAAGACCTTCCTGTTACGGCATGCTTTACTTGGTATTCTTATATTTGAATCAGCTTAAACTGCTATCCAAACGAAATTACGTACACAAAACAGCTTCTGTAAACAAAACGCAAAAATTACATGGCTTGGTTGAAAACGATGAGATAATGGCAAAAAGTTTAAGATGAGTTGTTGACAAGAGGGGCAGGGGAAAAGCTTTTGTCTTTATGTAGTGGCCAAGGCTGGCAACAAACATGGGGATGCGATCGAGCTATGGTCACTTTTAGGCGTCCATTTGCTTGTGAATATAATTCAAGATTTTGATTATTAATTAATAGGTTCTCGTCCATTCCTGCGGTATACATGCAGGCGCATGATATGCTACCACAATCCACTTTTGTTTTTTGAAACGAGTGTGTAATGTTATCTAATACAGGATATGTATCTTCTGTGATGCACAGAAAAACAATAAATTAAAAAAATTTGTTTTTATTTTTATCATATTTAAATTCTGTTGAGAAATGTGAAGAAATGTTAAAGGAATGAATAAAGATAAAGTCTTGCAGGGCCGAATAAATATGGGAGGGTTAACCTTGAATTTGGATCTAGTAGTCCTTAAACTTGGATTATTCGGTAGTGCAGCCAATACGAGCAGGAGTGTTGGCGCAAACTGACAACCTAGCTTAATAGTTAATAGTTTACTATCATGAAGGCGAAAACCGAACTCAATGTAACCCGGCCCAACATAGAGAAAAACAAGTTGGATTGAGATGGCCCACCAAGCACAGGGAATTAAATTATGCTTAAGATTATATTTGGAATCACAATTATAGACACTGTTTGTTTTACATAAGTCGAAATAAAACTCTTCTCTATTCAGTAAATTACTGTTAAAATTTCATTTATAAATTACTCATCTAGTCATAAATATAAAACCCTTTTTGTTTACAAAACAAAAAGAGTCTTATATTTAGAATTAGAGGAATATTTCAAACAGTCTTAAGATCTTAAGGAATGATGCTCATAGGGTTGCTAACTTACTACACTCAAACTTTCCCTGTTCCCATATGGTGTTTGAGTTGAATAGGGTGTTTGGGTAACCTCAAAAGTGTTATTGAAAAGCAATTTTTGTGTAAATCGAAATAAACCCTTTTACATATATATTTATTTGATACATTATAAAAATATTTTTAAAATTATGATTTTGTTTATACTCAAATATCCCCGAAACCAAACAAGCTCGTTTCCCAAACCAGCATGACAATTGACATGATCTCAAGTCAGCATAATAGCAGGAAGGTGACCTATAATTGGGCCAAACCTTGAGCATCAGACTTTGAGGTGGAGTTGCCTACAATTAAATTGGGCCTTAAAAATGATCTGAAAGGCGTCAGCCCCACAAAAAAATAAAAATGACATGTGTTTGCTTTTTATTATTATTTTTAATAATTCCGCAATCTTAATACAAATTTTTTCGTTACCATTACATCTCCATTTTCTCCCGTTAATTGACACATTAGCTCGTATTCTAGCATTTGGGAAACTACGGTCATGCATCTGGAGAACTTTCTTTTTGGAATGACTGTTAGGACTCTATACAAACAGGACTGGGCAAGGCAGGACCCTTATCCGATGTCCAGTCTAAAAAAATGAACGAGCTGAAAAATACAGCCTGCTGCCCCGCCCTACCCATGAAAAGCCCTATTAAGGGCTGGACAAATGCGGGCTGGGGAAACGGGCTTTTATACCCAACAAATCAATATACTATATTAATTAACTAATTATTTATCTTCCTCTAAATAATCTAATGTAACTTTATATTAAAATGACAACTTGGCTTTAATTTTGTTATTACTAATTAATATACTATGAAACTATTTTTTGTAGTAGCTAGGAGGAGTGAACTATGACAAAAAAATTGTTGTTTGTATATTTTATTAAACTTAATTATTTTTCTAGTTTCTAACTCTCAAAACCATTCAAAAATAAATAAGTATAATGAATAATGCAACAGTGCATTTGATTCAGGAAATAAATATGAGGCAAATAAAATATATATAAATAAAATAATATATATTTTTACGGGCAGGGCCAAATGGGCAGAGCAGCATACCATGCTTGATGCCCAGCCCAACAATTTGCCCAGTCCAAACATACCCAATAATTCTTTCAAGCCATTTTTTTTAGGGTGGGCTGGGTATTTTTTTGCGGGCTTAGGCAGACAACCGGACTTCATGAACACCCCTAATGACTTAACAGCTTTTGCGCCAAGAATTACTTTTAAAAGTTAGAAAGTTTGTATTTAAATGACAAATCAACCAAAAAAAACAAAGAAAAAAATTTCTTTCGGTTCTTAATATAGAATCTAAATGAAAAGTTGATCTTCATCAGATATATATAAAACTTATTTTATATATTTATCGAGTTTTTCTAAATTAACACTATTGATTTTTTTCATAACATTGATTTTTAAAATATTTAAGATATTTTAAAAAAATATCATATCAACTAATTTAACTAATATTTTTAATCTATTTGAATGAGTTAATTAAGCCTTAAATGAGAAGAGTAATAATTTTTTTAATTATTTTATATCTTGGTCATTTTGGGCGCAACCCATCTTGTGGGAAAAGTAATAATTTTTTTAACTATTTTGTATTTTGGTCATTTTGGGTACAACCCATCGTATTATTATCTTTTCGTCCGAAGGCCCAAAACTCATCCATCTCATTAGCATTAATTATTCCAGGAGAAAAAACTTATTATTATTCTTTAATTAATAAGAAAATAGGACAACGCGTATCGAAGTTTCACGCTCCAAAGCGTTGCTACATCGGAATTCGTAAGCAAGAAGAGAACCGATTCACGAAAGTATTTGTGAGAAATTCTTTGCTCTCCTCCGTCTCCCCGGATTAGTTCGTTTTTGTTCCTTCATCGCTTGGAGGATCACGATTTTGGATCTAGTTCGAAATGTTTAGATTTTGGTAATTATCTTCGCAAACCCTCGTGCTAGTTTTATCTTCGAGTTTTGATTCTTCTTATAAGGAATTTTCACCCTGTGGTGCCCTTATTGAGGAATGATTACAATCGCACCTGGAGGCCCTTTTGATGTAGCAAGCATACTTACCTTTGTTGCTCATGTATATTGCCCATTCGTGGATGATACTGACCTTGGTCCTTGAAGAGGACTACATATATTCTGTAACTTCCCCTTTCAAGCGGAATCATGTATTTGTTTGTGTCTTTTGGTTACGTTGATTACCTTAGGTTCTGTATATATCTGATTTTTTTAAAAACAAAATTGAATTTCTGTGCCCATTCTTCGTTTTGTTTTCGGATCATTATGAAAAATCATTGTTAATGCTATCCGCTTGGCATTGTTAATATACAAGAACAAGAGTAGAACAATTCTTGATGCTTTATTGTAGTTGTGGTGCCTTCGGTTTTCTTATTTGGCTCTGATGCTGAGACTGACACAGAGGGTGTATTAATTATAAAATGGCATGAACGAAAGATTCCCTAATCTTGATGTGCAATTTAGATTTTGGTTGAATAACATGTACTATGAGCGTTTTCTTGTTTACGCATAGGGGATCACCCGACAGACCATCTCAGCCGCGCCCCCAGGAAGGTTCTACTTCTACGCAGTCCTGGTATCCGCCATCTGTAGCGACCTCACCCGGTTCTTCTAGGCCTGCAACACCAAGCGGCACTTCCTCAAGCAGCTATGGTTCACAGAGACCTACAGAAAGATTGCAGTCTCCTTCGCATGTTTCTCCTGCGGAAGCTGCGGTAGTTATTGCTCATTTGAAGGACAAAAGGTAAGTTACTTAGTTACTGCTTCTTTTGAACAACGTTAGGTCACTTCTTTTTAGTTTTTCTAATTTGAAATTGAAAATGTGATTTGACTATAAAATTTAGATTTGCTTTATAATATAATATGAGGTCCAACTTTGTTTGACAGCCTTATTGTTAAGACTTCAGCGTTCATGGGGATCTTTGTTCTCTAAACCTCAATAGCAAAGAACTTGGTAGAAAATACAGTTCAAATTTGATTTTGCTGTGCAATTTACACTTTGGTTGCATCGGTGCAAGCAGTAAACATGAAAGGCCCAATATGTGCAATTTTTTAATTAAGCTTTGCCATTTGAAATGAAGTCAGTTATGGAGTCCATAACATATGTGTGTTTTGTATGTGAATATTTAGTCTTTCATGGATTTAGCAATTCAAAATCTTCTTAAACTTGTCTGTTTTCTTATTGAAAAACTTTATAAACTTTTTTTTTGGGGTGAAAACAAAATTTATAAACCTTGTCTGACTACTTTTATTCTTTAATCATAATTCCATTTGAGATCACAGGTTCTAAAGCTACCGTTATCATAAAGCAGTTCTTCTTTTCATTCTGTCAATGGATACTTATCTGAGTGGCCCTGGTGGCTTCACTTAGCATTCCTAGTAACTCTGATCATATGATTCCCTTCCATCTTTTAAGTATTGACTATCTTGTTTCTCTTTTTCACTCTTCATAAATTGTTCAGCGCTGATGAGCTACGGAAGCTTTTATCTGACAAAGATGCTTACCAGCAATTTTTACTTTCACTTGATCAGGTCAAAATTCAAAACAATGTAAGTTGCCTACTACTACCTCCATTGTATTTATGCTGGTTTATAAATTTAGAAATTTTCATTGTTAAATATATTTCATTCCCATTGCTCAATTGATTTGGAGCTGAATGGAATTTTAATAAAAATATTTAATTTTAATTCACCCAAAAAAAAAAGTTAATTTTATGGGATTGCTAAAGGTAGCCGGTAGGTGTGGATCCCAGATGGCCTATTCTAGATATCTAGCTTTCCTATTTTGGCGGCTGTTGATTTTTACTAATTTTGCTGTCATGCCTTAGATATAATGTAAGAAGCCGTTAGAAACAGTTGAGATGTGTTGAGCTTGCTTGACAATTGAATCCCATTGCAAATAAAATCTCCTGTTTGGCATAGAATGTATTGGAAAATGTAATAGAAGAGTGATTTTGTGGATTAAAAAAAAAAAAACTATTGTGTGTCTGAATAAAATATAATAAAAATGTATGATTACTGTTGGATAATGACAATGGTAACATTATATTATATGTTTCGATTTTGTGTGAAAGGAAGGGAATATGTTCTCACCTCTTTTACCAAATGAGCATAAGAAAACTATGGATTTTGGAGTCTTAGTGCCCTGTGTAAAACTTCTTTTAGTTGCATAAATTCTCGTGTAGGTTGGATTGTGTGTCTGCTCGTAATTTTAACAACTCTCCGTTCCTATTTGATCAGTTGAAAGACGAACTTTGCAAGGAGACTACACAGCTTGCAGGTGAGTGTGTACATACTTTGACCAGAGTGAGTTTACATATATTTGAACCCATCGTGTGTGGTGCTGGCTAGCAGTTGAATATTTGAGTGCTTTTTTATTGCTCTTTTTTCCCCACAATTACAGAGCAAAATTTGCAAAAGGAACCTTGTATTATGGAACTTAAAAATCAGGTAAGAAATTTTTTTGAATGTTTGACGGCACAAGAAATCTTTTGCTGACTGCTGTTATTCACCAACCCTAAATCACAAACTCTATCTTGTGCTAACCATTGAACATTCTGCTCTTCTCCTTTTGGGAACAGTGTAGAATAATTCGGACAACTGAGTTAGCCACTGCTCAGGAGAAACTAAATGAACTCGAGAAGCAGAGAGAACAAGCATTGAAGTTCAGTTCTCCAGCTTCTCTTCTTCAACAGCTTCAAGGTATGACATGAAATGATTTAACTCTAAAAGTCCTGGTGATAGCAAGATAGTTCATACTTAAATTATAATGCTGGGGTTCATGGATGTGGTAAATCTTTGATGATTTTGCAGAGGCTATGAGCCACACAGAAGAAGAATCTGAAAATCTGCACCAGCAACTCCTTGATAGAGAAATCGATCTTGGAACCTTCATGCAGAAATACAAGAAGCTTCGTACAAATTACCACAAGAGAGCTCTCGTGCATCTTGCGGCTAGAACATCAAATGCATGAGAGCCACCACGTAAGGGACATGCAAATTTAGAAAGTAGCTTCTTATTTGTTCGAGGAAATCGATGTGTGTGCATTTGTTTGTGGGTTTATTCGTCGCCATGTAGTATTCATCCTTTGGAGGTCATTGTCATCTTTGTTTACTCACGATTGAAATACTGTCCTTGATCAATGAGAAACGTTCGCATGTATAGCTTGAGAATTTTTTAGTTTATCTGTACCTTAGGTGACTTGCAAGCGATAAACAAATACGAGGCTGTATTCATTTGAAGCTAGTTTCATATAAAGTTTAGAAGCCGAATGGTGTTTTCTGTACTGTCCTTTATTTATCTATCGTATGTGATTTACGACCATCATGACTTTATATTAACCTTCTGTCACACCATGTCATGTTTAAATTTACTGTCTTAATTTTCAAAGAATGGACTTGTCAGGCTCAAAGGATTGTTGGGGAAGCAGCTACAAGTTCTAGAGCTTACCAACATCTCGTGGTGGCTAAACATTCATATGATGCTCTTTTCGTGTTGTTGTTAAACAGCTGTAGTAATACATTTCTTTTTGGTTGCTAACATAATTTTATTATTATTATTACTAGATGTCCACAGCCTATGATTAAAAAGTTAAATGAAAGTGTTCAAATTTGTTAAGAGAAATTAAGCGAAGCTGTGGTTCTCAGATCTTACGCACAAAGACTGAGAGCGGTCTCCTGAAAAATCTTGTTGGATTTCAAAGTCTGTGAAAAGACTAATGCTTAATAAACCTTTTATTCTTTTTCATGTCTTGAAAAGTCCAGTAACAATCGATCGCAGCTAGACGTGGCATATACCCGCTGAAGCTTAGCTATGTCCGTAGACGAAAAACCGGGACGTTCTCCAAAACAAATCATTGTTTCCATGGCAAAATGGGCTTCCAAGATTCAAGTCTGCTTAAATTGGGCATAACGCCCGTAAATACCTTGCCTTGCTCATCCGCCTATTTTGAAGTGCCCAAAAGAAGGCTAATTGACTAACCTCCCCACAATTTTCAGGCATTTCCCGAAAAGAGAGAGACGCGGGAAAAAAAAAAAATTGGGCAACAGAGCAAAAATATGTAAGACGCATAAATTTACCTTTTGTCAGTTGTCAGCGTCCGGTTCCAAAAGCCATTTCTTTTCATGCAAGTTTTCCTTCTAGACAATGCCATGAAACTTTGTTGACGAGCATCTGGTACTAAACGAGGCAGGCACGGCCAACCTCGGCCCAGAAGAACCCGATGACCTATGGCTTGTTTACAATCTCATAGCCCCAGGTGATGTCATCGCCACCCCAACCACCCGCAAAGTCCACCTTCAGTCCGCCAAGAACACTGCTTCCCGCGTGAATGTCACCCTCCACATCAAAGTCACGCACTGTGACTTATACAAAGAAAACTTCACCACAACCAAAGCTTGTAAATAATTTTTCAATCATAATTTATATAAGTATCTGAAAAAAATTTTATCATGACTTTATGAGTTTATGGCACCGTTTGGGTGACACCCTAAACCATGGTTTGGGTGATAAGTCACCCAAACACCCACTCAATTTGCACAAACCATGGTTTTGGGCCAAAACATGGTTTTGGAAAAAGCAAAAATTTTTTGCTTTTGGAGAAAAAAGGGAGAGTGTGAGACCCTATAGGATATGTATCTTGTTATTTTTTTATAAACATATTTTTTATAAACATATTTAATCTTATATTTTATAAATGTATATACATATTAATTATTTATTAATTATATTATCTTATGTATTATTAATTATGTTAATAAAAAATATACTATTAACAATTTTATTTCTTCAAATTAAAATATATCATAAAATCTATTTTTTTCTATAATTATCATATTAACTTTTGTCTCTTTTTTTTTAGTAATTTGTATATATAAAAAGTGTTTCTGATAACAACTATCCAAACACTCTCACTTCTCAAAATCACTTTTTCATAAAATCTATTATTCCCGGAATCTATTATCCAGAATCACTTTTCTAAACCACGGTTTAGGGTGTGTTTGGAAAAGTGATTCTGGAGAATAGATTCTGGGAAGAATAGATTTTATGAAAAAGTGATTTTGAGAAGTGAGAGTGTTTGGATAGTTGTTATCAGAAGCACTTTTTATATATACAAATTATTAAAAAAAAGAAATAAGTTAATATGATAATTACAGAAAAAATAGATTTTATGATATATTTTAATTTAGAGGAATAAAATTGTTAATAATATATTTTTTATTAACATAATTAATAATACATAAGATAATATAATTAATAAATAATTAATATGTATATATATTATAAAATATAAGATTAAATATGTTTATAAAAAAATAACAAGATACATATCCTATAGGCTCTCATACTCTCCCTTTTTTCTCCAAAAGCAAAAAAATTTTGCTTTTTCCAAAACCATGATTTTAGAGCCAAAACCATGGTTTTAGTTTTTGAGGGGGTGTTTGGATAGCATTTTGTGCAAACCATGGTTTGGACTTCCAAACCATGGTTTGTAAGTGCATCCAAACGGTGCCTATGTCGTGTTTTTAAACGCTTTTACAAATAGGCCCAATGTCAGCTCCCGCCCCTACGTCGCCTCCGGCCATTCCACACTCTCACCCTCGAGAGGAACAAGGCCGTCGAACTCCACAAGATTTGGGATTCCGACGCCTTGGATGCCTTGAGCGAAAGCTCTGAGAAATCTACAGTTGCTGATCTCGCTGTGCTTCTCTTTCAAAAGGATCGCGCGCGGCTTTGCTTGCTGGGAAGGAGGGTTAATAAGCCTCGTTCTACAATCGAAACTTCACCGGTCGCTAGAAAAGGAGATTCCTCATGCAACGTGTTCTTCCAGCGTGTTTTTAGTGCACGTGTGAAGCATGTCCATTTTAACACTATCAAGTGCGCGGTCATTGCGGCCCCTGCCTCGTGAAAGATGAATTTCCAGGGTTCCTGACCTCAGAAGTGAAAAGGTTGAAGATAAAGCCCACTGAAGACAACAAAGCTCGGGGGGCAAGGGTTTTACAGGAGTGCAGAGACGGGGACAAGGCAAAAATACGTGAGTTTGGTTAAATCAGTAAAAGAAGGGGGAGGGAAGGTCTTTGTGTACCCCACAATGCATGTCTCCGTAGAACAGCTAACTCGATTAACGGGTGTTGCTGCAATTCTGAGATTTCCCTTGCCCCATCTTCAACAGATGGATGATTGAAATTTTGGCTTCTAAATTAGCCTCCTGTTATCTGTTGCTTCCCTTTCCCCTTCAGTTGTTAGCTAAAGAGAAACTGAAAGGAGAGAGATTCTTTCCTCTATAATTCAGGCTTGTTTGTGTTTTGTTATGGCTGTTATCTTTGTATTTTCTGATTCGCTAACTTTCAGGGCGCGAATTTACAGAAGTAAAAATAACGTGAAAAGAGGGATTCTTTGTGGTCGGCATCACCCAAAGAGTTGCATAGCTAAAATGAAAGTTGAAGTTCACTCTGAAGATTAACCCCATTACAAACACACTATTCAAACACATTTCGGAGAACAATATCCACCACTATACGATATATTCCCTTTTGAAAAATAAACAAATAAAAGAGAAGCCACTGATCGGTGAATTTAAATTCAACAGAATGTTCTAGATTCCCTTTAGCAAATGTGGCTTCAAATCATTGCAATAAACCAGCCTCCCTAAGAGCTCCTTTATAGTCCTCAACGCTTTTTTCTCGGACCTGCACCCCCGTGACACCAAGAAAGTATGAATTGGATTACGCAAGATTCACAACTTAAATACCAAGTCGTAGTAGGAAAATTGCAGGCTCGACATTCTGTCGACACTGCACACAGAACAAGGTTCAATAAAATGAATACTGCCATTATCCATAACCATACCTCAGTTAAATGGGTGCCAAAGTGCTTCTCAATCTTCGCCATGAGATTTGCGTCCCTTTCACCACATATGAGGTTAAATACAGCCCCTGCGGATCACGTGAAACAAGCAGCAGAACAAGTTTCATATTTCAAATGAAAAGTTATGATTTAATGGAGACTGAAAATAAATGAAATTTTTCTTCACATTACAAGGATAAAGATCAGACTCTAAAAGACACATGCAGAGTTCTTGTGTAGTTCTAATAAGAAAAAGTTGACTAGATGCCTACCCTTGCGCCCAAAACGTCCAGCTCTCCCAACCCTGTGCAAATACACCTCATAATCGGGCTCTTGTTCACGAGTATACTCCGCAGTATATTTCAATGGAAGATCATAATTAATAACCAAATTAACCTGAACAGGAATAAAATGAAAGAATGTCATCACATTGAGAGACAGATAATAAGTGCAAAATGGAAAAATATACCCAGAAAGGTATGAGATAATAGAAGAAATCCAGCACCTGTTGTTGATCAAAGCCTCGGGCAAGAACATCAGTTGATATCAGAACTTGAGTCAAACCATCTCTGAACTCCTTGACAATCTTATCTCTTTCCTCATGCTGAAGAGCGCCTTGTATGGAAGTGACCTCGTAGCCCAAATCAGCGAGAGCTTTGTGCAACATGCTCGCACTATTTCTTGTGCGCACAAATATGATAGTTTGGCCCACATTCTCTCCTATTTCAAAGATGTAATCTTTGATCACTTCAATCTTAGAGAGTTCATCAAGGCAATTCACCCTGTATTGCTTCACTGCCTCTAAAGATAGCTCTTCTTTCTTTACAAAAAGTTGATTGTGATCCTTCTTAACCGTTCTCGAAACAAAATTCTTGACAATTTCATTAAATGTAGCAGAAAACAGAAGAACCTGAAGGGCAGACATACATACCACTGAAAAAGTCAGACCCTAATCTTAATTAATGCTGTAATAAACAAATGGGATAATCAGTAGTGTCTAAAATATCTCTTAGACAAGAATAGCAGTTATAAAATGACTTGAGTCATGTACAAGCCGACACAGAGACGCCTACATAAATAGTAAATACACCAAATAAAACGGTTATTCAAGCATAAACACTATAGTTCTTCACAAATAGTTAGCCTCAAATCTAACAACTATACTTCGGTTTCACTTATATTCAATTATTATACCTATTGGCATCAATCAGAAAGACTTTATCTTCACACGGATGCGGTAGAAGGGTGGGGGAAGCATTGTTATGTCAAACAATCCATAAGTTTTAGTTTTTGAATTAAAACTGTGTCTCAATGAAAAGGCTAATATATTGTTTTGCTTCCTGTATTGAAAGTAATTTACAAGTTCTAGCACGACAGAAAGAGTACTAGAGCTGCTGCACCTGAAAAGGTGTGCATAAGTGCCTCTAAACTAAGCGTCTTTTCATGTGTGGGCACATAATGGATGGGCATGTCATGCATCCGAGCAAGTACAGGAGAGAGGGTTCGACAAACCTGACACTTAGAATTGACTCTTTCTATATCTTTCATTATCCTCAAAGAATCATCTTTAAAACCATCCTGCAGAAGTAAAATGTCAATAATTAATAAAATGTAGGATCAATATATCAACATATAATACAAAAATCACAGCAAGTTGCACTATTCACAAGTTATTTACAATATGGTATATTTTTCAAACTCTGTGACTTACGGACCATCTAGTTGCACGTTTAATTCAACAAAAAAAAAAAAAAAATCCCCAGACATTAGACAATGTCCTTCTATCTCCACTGTACTTATTAATACGAGGTAACGGACGTTGAGCCAAGTGGTTTTACTAGAGAGGCATTTCATAGTTAAATGGCGTTGATGGTTATAAGAATAGAATGATCGGCATACAGCAATATTAATTTCCAATATACGGAAATATCACTAATCTCCACTGCGTTGCAATAATATGTACATCGAGAGTGATAGGAAATCGGAAAACCTAGTTTAAAGAACCATGAAGCTTCAAAATACGATAGAACAACATTAAATTTCACTAATGTACTAAACTTACCTCTGCAAGCATTTGATCAGCCTCATCAAAGACAAGAATGTTTAATCTGGCGGCACCAAGTTTCTTATATGACATCCACTTCTTAATTGTTCCAGGAGTCCCAATTACTACTTGTGCCATAATAGGTGCCCGTTTTGCTATTGGAATAGTATCTCTGCTGTCTGCTGGTATGGCACATTCTGAAGTAATCCCAGTGTATTTCCCCATCTTTCGAAGAACTTCCGTATTCTGGCATTTTCAGTAAACACTCTTAAACCACATACCACATTTTCCACAAAGAATGAAAAGCAAGGAACTTTACCTGAATAGCTAATTCTCTAGTTGGACAAATGCAAAGAGCTTGAGGAGCCCTCAGGTTCGGGTCAACACGACTTAGCATCCCAAGCACAAAACATGTTGTCTTGCCTGAACCGTTATGTGCCTGTGCAATCAGATCCTTAAAAGGAGGGCTCAAGATCATTGGCAAACTGATAGCTTGGATTTTGCTAGGCTTCTGAAATTTCATCTCAACATACAATCCTTTTAGCAACTCCGGAGTAAGATTCAAATCTTCAAAGGTGCTCGCCGAGGTATATGGAGTATCACCGGAAAAAACCTACATCAAAGTTAAAACTCAAGTTCCTTAGGAGGAAGTCCTGGCCCAGCACCAATAGCTACCGTTTGAAAAACAAATCGCATTTACCAGCCAATTCTTTTGTTTGGGGGGAGGGGGTAAAAAGGAAAGAAAGGGGAGCACGTTCGCGGTCCGGTAATTTCAAGATGCAGAACAGCTCGCAGAAACTAAGTGAAAGGTAGAAAATCATAAATTTAACCTGAATCTTAGTCAGTTTCTCAAAAGGGAGCCCTACCGGATGGCAGGAAATCCCGTAATTAGTTTTGATGGGATACAAGAGCACTTACGATGAAACAAAGTATAGCTATAAAGACTGTACCGCTTGAATGTTGGAGTCCTCCGGTTCGTCCAAGAACTTAGCAGTCTTCTTATTCTCGTCGATGGCTAATCCGTCAACGTTAAGCGAGGACACCGATGATGAACTGGAAGCGGGATTCGTTTCTGGTGGAACTTCTTCCTCAGCTTCATCAGCCCAACTTTTATGCTGGGTAGCCGCTGGTTTGCCCTCCGGAGGCGGAGTGGTGTTGGACGAGTCACCAGATGCTGATTCCGCCATAGCAGAGCGTGCAATATGCTAGCAGAGGACTGACCTTGGATCGAGAGAGAGACCGCAGAACCAGATTTGCGGGATTGCTTTTCCAACTTGTAAACTACAATAGTTGTAGCAACCTAGCAACAGGGTCCTAGACGTGGGCTCGGGTGAATTGCGACTTTTGCTGGGATAGCCCGCGTTTTTGTAATTATTCATATCTTTTGTGACTTCTTATGCGAATATCATCTTGCTTTCGCCTATAATAAAAATTACTCTTCCAGTCTTTAATATAAGACCTAATTGTTAAGTTGTTTTTTATTCTAAATATAAGATTCATTTATCATATTTATCAATTTTCTCTAAATTATCTCTATAGATACTCTCTCAATCATAATCAAGTAGAAGAGGAAGATGAGGTATTAAGAAAGATGATTGTGGTATTTTAAGAAAAACCTATCACATTTCTTATAATTAACTAACTTACCTAACTTCCTTAACCTAATCAAAATAGTTAAATAGGTCTTATATTAAGGACTAGATGTGTAATAAATATTACCTCTGTCCTAATTATAAAATCTCGTTTCTAATAGTGATTAACCGTGGACGGTTTATTTTCAAACGCAGTTATAGAAAGCAATTTTGCTGAAGATACTATTTGACATTAAAATGTGGACATTTTTCTTAATAAGAATGTGAGTCTTGATTTGTTATGTTATAAAAAGTTATTCCAATTCAAAATAGTGAATTGGTGGGTGTTTGCCTTCCTGGGAATGGATTAGCAGGGCCTGATCGACCGCGATGATGGGCTTCTAGTTGACTCTGCACAATGAATGGGCTGATGCTGCAGTGCATCCATCAATGGACCTTTAATTTTATAGAGAAAATGAGATTCATACTTCAGAGCAAAGCCTTTGAATTTGTAACACCTCTTCTTTTTATTAAAAAAAAGAAAAAGAAATCAGTTCATATGAGAAAGCTCAGCTATGACTATGATTAGCTTCTAGGGAAAACCATATTGAAGGTACCTATACTTTCTTTCAATTTTTAATTTGGTACCTATGTGTTTTTTTCTCTTTAATTAAACATTTAATTTTATCTTTTTAGCAACATTAGCTCTTATAACTTTGTTCTATTGATATTTTTAGTTTCTACATAAGGATTAATGATGTTAATAGAGGAAAAATAAAGATTTAGTTAAGAACAAAAAACACATAGGTACCAAATTGAAAATTGAAAAAAAGTATAGGTACCTCCACTATGGTTTTCCCTTAGCTTTTAATCCTGTTGCAAACTTTCTCGTACTCTTTGTTGAGTAAAATATATATATTTTTAAATTGTTGTTAAGTATTTCGATTCCAGTGATTTATCGGTAGCCTCTTTTTGTTAATAATCAGAAGCAATCTTTTAATTATATCAACGATGAAATAGGAAAAAAGTCTCCGTAAGTGGAGAAAGCAACGTTTAAAAAGCTTTATCTTTTAGTTTGGAACCAATTACATCAGATTCAAATTCAAATTATTTGATAATATTAAACGCTGAATGGTCATGTGAAAAATGTTAACGAGCTTGACATGATTAATAATAAAAATATCACATGAGATGAAAAGACAGATAATTATAGAGAGAATTACAATGAGATCTCATATTAAAAAAAAATTACAAAACAAGTCCCATAAGTTATTATTTTCTATTCTATAACTTGTTATTACAGGCTGCTTAAATTGTTATTAGACTTTTTAGTAGTTATTTTTCTTGTATGGGAATTGATTATAATTCTCTCATAATTATACCCCGCAAGTAAAGCTTTGTTTTTGGAAAAATCTTAACTACATGTTAGCATAAGATATGCGCAGACGGCGTGGTATGAATTGGACAATTAGTAGTACTACAATTTTATGGGGTTTATTAGCAGTGGTTGCCGCAAGAATCTTTTTTTTCCCCCTCTCGTACGTTTATTTTACTCCGTGACTGCTCAAGTGCGGAACTGCGGATAAACGCAAACTCACGAATACGGGATTTGATTTAATTGGCGTAAGCGAGGGTTAATAGTTTGAAATTCAAACCCAAAAGATTGCTTTTTCTTTATAACCAAAGCGTAAAAGTGGGAAGAGTGTTGTTGACCGTACTTGAATCTAATCCAACTGAACCATAACTCCCGCTTCAGCGTTGAAATTCCTTGAAAAACTAATACTCATTATTGTCAACCTCACAAATTAACTCTTCGAATTTAATGTTTTTATATTTTTAGTTAATAAAATTGTGTCAATTCACTCTTAAACTCGTAATAACTATAAACTCAATTAAACTTACAAGTTTATTTACCAAGTTTACCGTTTTTACTTTTTAAACTTACAAAATCGCATTAACTCGCTTTTAAACTAGTGTTAAATTTTTGAATTTGATTATATTTAGTGACTTTACATATAAATTTTATAGAAATTCCTTTGTTGAATGTGATAAATTATGATCATTGATGAATATAATTTTAATTATTTAAATGAAATTGTTCTCATTTTTTATATATTAATTATTTGATTCCATACTTTTTAATACCAGTTTATTAATAAAAGTAAACTCTTACGAGTTTACAATTCGAGTTTATTTCGTTCTCACGAGTTTGTTTAAACTCGTGAGTTTGACAACCTTGTTAATACTACCTCCTATCTTAAATATAATAACTAGTTAATTAATTTGACTAGATTAAAAAAATAAGTTAAATTAGTTATTTGTAACAAATATGTGTTGTTTTTCCTAAAATATCTATGCTAATGAAGTTTATTAACTAGAAGCCTAGAACTACCATTATTAGAAAGACAATTTTAGAAAAAGATGAATAAATATGAAAGACAAGATGAATTGGGGTATTATATTTAGAACCAAAATAAAAATTAAACTAAAAATATATTTATTTTTTAAAACAGTTGGTATATGTTAGATGTTTTATAAAATTATAAGTCTAGTAAATATATATAATCAGTAAAGATATTTAAAAAACATATAATATATATTTATTATAAATAATGTTAATATATTTTTTTAATCTACTCAGATGAATTAACAAACTTTTATATCATAGTAGTATTATGAAAGAGGGAAAGTGCCTAAATACCTGTTTACGCGCTGGCCGTGCGTACTAATGATTTTAGGGGCAAAAGTAACTACTAACTACGGCGAATATCACTGAGAATAACCCGAGGTGGTATGCCAGAAGAAGTTTTATCGACACGCGCGCGCACGGGAATGAATCTAAACGGGTGTTTTCTTGCGATGAATAAACGGAAGTAATTATTGCACATTCATTCCTTCTTACACGCACATAAAATCAATAAATGAACTGCATGGTATTCACTGTTTGTAAGTAATGCATGTGTGTAAATAATTTGATGTCGTCTCTCAAAGAAATAAACCTCCCAATTTCATAGGTTTTTAGGTAAACACAACAGGAATTTATGACTCTGATACTGATAACTCTAATCCAAAAGACATCAAATAAAGGCTAGATCTAGTGATTCTTATTAGCTAACAACTCATCCCGTGCACAGCAATCAATCAGAGACTTGAAGTGATCTATTTGGAAAAGATATCATTATTGGATCTGATGCTTGTTACTATCACACTAAGAATGTTCAAATATTACCTAGAGGAATTAGATATAAAAATTTCTATTACTTTTTGTATTTCAAATACTCAATACCAATAGATTGTTATACCATTTAGGCTATCTAATCCCTCTAGGCAGTATCTGAAAATTCTTAGTATGGTAATAAGCATCAAATCCAATAAAATATGATATGATACATAAGACTCAAATAAAATAATAAAAAATAATATATGTCTCATATAATATGAAGTAAAATAAAAGATAACGATTGAGATTAAAATTGAATGAAATATATTAAAAAAATTGTGTGGAGGATTACTTGTTACTCAAAATTATAAGGAATTTTGAATTACGCAGTCAAGCATCATATAGCTTTTCAACACGGCAAGTAGTTAAAATTAAATCTTTATCTGCACGCTCTTCCATTTTCATTCGGATCAACCTTAGTGTATCCCACTCAAGCTCAATTTTACGGTCTAAGGCAGCTCTAGGCGGTTCTAAAAACTAATGAAATGGCGGGGGCATCCGCAATTTTGCGGGTAGGTTCGAAGTGGGAGCGTGCGCGTCACTCGCACAACGGCCACGGCGAGTGAAGCCCCGAGCCCCCAAGGGTCAAAAAAGGCGTGCTCGCCGCTGGGGCCTGTGTGCATGGGATTAATGACTTTTACGTTTTTCCCCGGGCCACGTGGAAAAAAACAAAAAGGCCCCACACTCTCGACGGGTTTTGATATCACAACCCCCTCGACTTGCTCTTCCCGGTCCTTTCTTTTTTTGATTTTTTGTTGATAACTTGTCCTTTCTTAATTTTTGTTGAGGCAAAGAACAATCATGATTGCATATCCTTTATTTATTTGCTCTTCATTTTCAGCGTTTTCAAATTACTGTAATTAAAATGAATTTTCAGCATGAAATTCCACAAGCAGTTTAATTTTTTAATGAAAAATAATGACATTTCCACTGTGATAATCACAAGTCAAAGAGAGCTTGAGCGATGCAGGAAGGACTTGAGAAAGCACTGTAGATTAGATAAACGAATGTCGGGTGACATTAACCGGTGGTGGTCAGCCAAATACTATTATTAAAGATCAATTTTGTTTCCCTTTCCTGATCCTTGATTCCCTTTCTATCTGTTCCTGATTCAACATAACCATTTGATTAATATTTCCCGTTTTCGTCATATCTTTTTTATTCTTGGGATGCGCAAAATACTTGTTGCCAATTTCAATCGGAGTTCGTGCAAACGAAAATTCACACGAAAGTTATCAGTCAACCACTCGGTTAGATCCTCTTTTTGACCATTCGCAAATAGTAGATTATCCTCTAATGAACATTGAACAGCAACAACTGTGATATATTTTGGAGCACAGGAGTATTTAGTCTATACATGAGGGAGGATAACAAATAAAAGGCGAGCTTAGAGTGCAAATTGAACAATTGGAGCCTTTAATATATAGCATTTGTTTTTTGAGATGCATTTTTTATAATGATAATTATTACTCCTCCGGTCCTTATTATAAGACCCAATTTGACTTTTTATTTGGTCCTAATTATAAGACCCAATCCATTTTCTCTCTTATATTTATGCATTTTTTTCCAAGATAATCCCTCTAATAATGATAGTTTTAGCCAATATACTTAATTAGCAAGGATATTTTAGGAATGACAACACTTATTTATTATAAATAACCAACTTAACTTACTTCTTTAATCTCCTCAAATAAGTCAATTGGGTCTTATAATTAGGACCGGAGGAGTATTATAAAGAACAGGGGTTTGTGAGATCACTTCTCTCCATAAATTTGAGGCAAAAATTAACCGACGGGTCATGACTCATGAGACATTATCATCAGTGGTTGTGGAAGTCTGTAATTTTCTTTTTAGGGGCGTCCTTGTTTTTATTTTATTTTTCTTCAAATAATGACGAACGTCTTTATATACGCTGGCACCCAAAGCTTCGGTCCCGTGGTTAATCTATTCGGAGCCGGCTGATCAACAGTATCGCCCAGCTCTGCTGTCCTGGGACGCCGCTCTCTCTCTCTCTCTCTCTCTCTCAATGCCTAAAACGAAGCATCGAGTCCATCATCCCCAGACCCCCTAAACTTATCTGAGGAAGCCTCGAAAGCACCGAAAATGCGGTGTTTTCTTTCGTTGTTATTGGCCGTAGCCTCCTTACTGTTGCCGGTATCGGTAGTATACAGTGGATTGCCGAGGAGTTTTCTGTCTCTTGAACGGGTTATTCCTCTTGGCCATCAAGTGGAACTGGAAGTACTCAGAGCACGTGACAGAGCCAGGCATGCTCGAATCTTGAAAGGCGCGGTAGGCGGTGTAGTCGACTTCTCAGTCGAAGGGACCTCCGATCCTTACTCCATTGGGTACGGGTAATTATACCTTCCGGGTTCTCCTAATTTCTCGTCGGTTTAAATGCACGTGCATTTATTGGTTTGTTTCGAGGTGCATTAAGTTTGAAGACTCCTTTCTTTGTTTATCCTATTTTTCTTCCTCTTCTGGCAAGCATTTATTGGTCTTTATGTTGCATTGGCCTCTTTTCGTTCTCCAAGTGGCGGCGGAGAATGCTGCGAACGTTGAAAAGAAATAAAAAGATGCAGATCGAATTTGTTCTGTTATAATTTTTGTATTGTATTCGGTTGGCTAATGGGTTCTTCCGGTCTCTCTCCTTTCGTAATTTGTAAATCTTTGTTCTTGATTGTTTCCGTGTCTTTTTCTATTAACAACTGATTCACTTGCACCCTCTGTTCAGAGTTAACGTTAACGAATTACGAGTATTTTATTCTTCTAAGATGAAATAATATTGGGTTTCTTGTTTAGGCTGTACTTTACGAAAGTGAAGCTGGGCTCTCCTCCAAGAGAATTCAGAGTCCAGATTGATACTGGAAGTGACATATTGTGGGTTGCTTGCAATGCGTGCAGTGATTGCCCTCGATCTAGTGACCTGGGTGTAAGATTCTGATGCTTGTTCTTATTCATACTGATGGTATCTTGGGAAATCAAAATACACTTTGGCACTTAATACCTTTCTTTTGTTGTTTATGTTCTGCAACCTACAGATTGAGCTCAATTTCTTTGATACAGCCAGCTCATCCACGGCCATGCAAGTTTCCTGCTCTGACCGAATTTGTACTTCTACGTTACAAAGTTCTGGAACTGAATGCTCCCCTCAGATTAATCAGTGCAGCTACACTTTCCAGTATGGAGATGGAAGCGGGACATCAGGTTATTACGTATCTGATCTGATGCATTTTGACATGATGCTGGGACAATCTATGATTGCCAACTCTTCAGCTAATGTGGTTTTCGGGTGAGTCCTTATCCTCTTTATGTAGAAGATGTGCGCCTGTCATTTCTAGATGTTGAAGCAAGATTAAGCTCAGGAGCAATCATCATGGGATTGAGAACAAATAAATTAAAGACGAAAGTTGGATGGATGGAGTTCAGAGAAGCCTCGCCTTTTAAACATCACCAACTACTTTGCACTTGACAAAGACTACAGGCCAAATATTGTTGGCTAATTGTTTGAAATTCTGCATCAAACTAATATAAATTTTAAAATTAGCATTTATGTTTAGTGCGGAGTTACAGGGAATGGGAGAAAATAGAGAAGGGAGGGGTGAAGTTGGCAGTGTTTGTTTTGTCAATTGGTGGATTTTTGAGTAAAAGGGTGAGAAAAAGTAAATAAATGAGGTTGATTAAGTTGAGCACCTTATTCGTTTGTATCTGTTTGCTCTCTCTCTCTCTCAATTTTGATGGTTTTTTCTGGTACAGGTGTAGCACCTATCAATCAGGAGAATTGACGAAGTCGGATAAAGCCGTTGATGGAATATTTGGGTTTGGCCCTGGTGCTTTATCTGTTATCTCACAATTGTCATCACGAGGTGTCACACCCGGGGTCTTCTCTCATTGCCTAAAAGGAGAAGGCAGTGGAGGAGGCATATTAGTTCTTGGTGAGATTTTGGAGCCAAGTATTGTTTATAGCCCACTTGTCCCATCACAGTATGTCCTCTTTTACCTACTTGCTTTCATGTTTTCTTTCTCCGGATGCTATTAACAATTTTTTCCTTGTATTCACTTCACATTCGTTGAAGGAAATGTATGACAAATGTATTGCTGTAGCAAATCATGACGACACTAAAAAACTTGTTTAATACTCTAACATAATCTCTTTGGAATATAGCAACATGTTGTAGCGCTACTATGAATAACAGAAAATGAAGGATCAGGATCACCATTTGATCGGTTGGAACTTGATAGATCTATTTGAGATGTGTGGCATTTTATCTGACTTGTTCCTTTACGCAATCCCAGGCCCCATTACAATTTAAATCTTCAGAGCATTGCTGTCAATGGACAACCCCTTCCCATTGATTCAGCTGTGTTTGCAACATTTAACAACCAAGGAACTATAATTGATTCTGGTACAACATTGGCATACTTTGTTCAAGAAGCATATGATCCTCTTATTAATTCTGTAAGTTTTTTTGTTTCCCATTACGATTTTGAGACATTATATTGCAGTTGGTACATAAGATTCCGTGATATGATCACCTTTCTCTTCACATATCTCTTTAGAACAAAAAATGTTGCATGCCCCTTTTCACCATTACCCCGTAATAAAACAGGATCTCCTCAAAATGAGTAATAAAAAGTTTTTCTGTCTGAACCAGGAAACTAGGCTGTTAATTTGAGGTTTTCATCATTTTGCATGAGTTCCAATAAAATTGAAAAACAAATCTCCATAACAGTTTGAATCTCAGTGATAAGTCTTCTGTGTGGTTCTTATGCTTGTATTTCCTCATTATGCTTAGCAAGCTGCTTACCTCCTTTGTCTTGTGTCTACTTTTCCTTTAACATGTAGCTAGATAGATCACATACTGATGGCTTGTTTGTGTCCATTGAATCCATATGGGTCCTATATCATTTATCTAATATCGCGTTTTTATGGTGTCTGGTTTTGGTAAATCCCATTTTCCTTAGATCTTTAATTGTAACTGTTTTTCATTTAAAACATATTCGTGATTTAATGAAGGTTCTTATGTCTTACAATGGTTAAGCCATTGAATATCATATTGAGGTTTTTATCCGATTTCTATACAATATTTTCAAAACAGACTGGGGAAGGAGGCACAAAAATGCTGGAATAAATGCTGTCCTGATTTCTAAAGATCTATATGAAATCATAGTGACCTTACTTTCCCTTGTACTATGTCTTGATGGATTTGTAGATCACTGCTGCTGTGTCACAATCAGCAAATCCCATTATTTCAAAAGGATACCAATGTTATCTGGTCTCAAGCAGGTTGATTTCGGACTTGATATTTGCAATGAGCTTTTGTCCTTTTAAGACTACTGGAGACTCATTATAATTTTTTCTTGTGGCTCACTCAGCATAGGTGATATATTTCCCCTAGTCAGTTTAAATTTTGCAGGCGGGGCATCCATGGTTTTAAAACCCGAACAGTACCTTATTCGTTATGGTTTCCTTGTAAGTATACCCATCTACTTTGGTAGATTCTTGCATTTTTTCCGACTTAAGGGAGAGCTATTATTTTTTATTTTGTCACTGGTTATACTCTGATGTGCCACTTTGCTGTGAAAGGATGGTTCTGCAATGTGGTGTAGTGGTTTCCAGAAGGCACAAGAAGGGGTTACAATTTTGGGAGGTAAGACCCTCTAGGAGATTAATTAAACAAGATGAGTACTTTTTGTCATTTGAAAACTTTTATAAATTGTCATTTTAGTAAATAGTAAACATATATATAGTCCTGACTTTGGTAGGTTGTTAGGAAGAATCTTATTTGACATGACAGGGTATTTCTGGTTTTTACTCTGATGGAATGGGACTTCAAATTATGATCCGTAAAAGGGTTTGATTGACTGATTGTTATAATCCAATACTTCTGGTCTGATGTCTATGTAAAAGCTATATTGATAAAGTTGACTTCGTTTTGACTTGAAAATGTATTCAATGAGCATGATACTCAGATGTTTGCCTACTTCAGTCTTTTCAAAGTATTGGGTTGATGAACCTTCTTGTCTCCTCGTCTTGCAGATGTTGTCCTAAAAGATAAGATTTTTGTCTATGACTTGGCTCATCAACGAATTGGGTGGACAAACTATGATTGTAAGTTCACCGGATCAACTCTCTCTTTAAACCGGGAATTATTATCTCCATTCACGCATTAATTAAAAACTGCTGCTCAGGCTCCTTGTCTGTAAATGTTTCCCTGACCACGAGCAAGGATGAGTACATCAATGGAAGAAAGCGGAGCGCAAGTAGCTCACAGATGGATACTCTCACCAATTTGCTACCTGTTAGTATCGGCATTCTTATCGCGTACATACTAGTTTTCATGGAGTCGTGATGTTGATCCCACATTCAAGAGCTCATTCTTTTTTCACTGACCTTTGAAAGTTACGCTGGGTTGGCTGATCTTTTATTGATTGTCGGCTTCCCCTTCTGTTGTGTATTTATCATATTCCACTTCGGCTTGGCATGCTCGCTAACGGGAGCATCTTCCATTCTTCTAACGAAAATCCGGATCTTCCATTGTAAATGACTAGAGGGGCTCTGTCGAGGATGAGAACTTCCAAAGTTGCATATTATCCCTGGAGTAGATAAATTTGTACTGTTTCTGTAGTCCATATGTGATTCATTGTGAGGGCTGAGAGCAATTTAATGTGATTTAGTACTGGCCATAGGATACACAAGGTATATAGGAATCTCGTGTGCTGATGTTATCATGGATAATGTTCTGGATAGTTAATTACAAAATGGATAAGTTGTCTGTTGAGCGACACTGATCACTTTTACGGGTCAATTTGATTCGAACTACATGTTGAAGCAGTCGGTCCAGCTAGATTAGTGACTCTTGTTCAGCAAAATTTGACGAACTGTGCCTTGCGATTCAGTCTATAATTAACGTCGAGACCCCTGACCCTGCATTTAAACTTTCAAGGTCCCGTTTTGAATTACTGGCAAGCATGTCTTGCTCAAGTGAAGATAAAACTTCTTTTATAAATTTATTTCATATTCCTTAATACTACTTCCGATCCTTAATATAAGATCTTATTTGGCTTTTATTTTGGTTTTAAATATAAGACTCCAATCTACTTTGTTTCTCATATTTACTTAATTTTTTTTCAAGATAGTGTTTTTAATAATTATAGTTCTAGTTAATACACTTGATTAGCAGTGATATTTTATAAAGAAAACACTTATTTAGACAAATAACTAACTGAATTTATTTTTTTAATCTCCTCAAATTAGTCAACTGGCTTTTATAATGAGGACTGGAGGTAGTATAAATTTTGGGTAAACCAAAGAGCAAAAACGTGGAGCATAATATAATGTGACCAGAGAAAAAAGCATTATCAAAGTAATTATAAAATGTAAACTTCCAATTTCCACGATAATACCTTCTTTTTTTTTTTTTTTTATCGCTCTCTGACCGTAATTCGTGCAGAACATTTTGATTTGGGCAGCGCACCTGCCAAGGAACGGGGGTCAGGAAGAATGCCGTGAGGCGTGAGCGTTGATTCAGTTATGAAGTTTTTGGCCGCGGGTGAGAGTCCCGCCAATAATCCTGTCCTTCCTTTTCAGGTTCATCTTTCCGTCACTCGCCTGTTCTACCCACGCGCCCGTCCCCGTCACTGTCACCGCAACAAAACTCGTTTTTTTTATTCTTAAAAAAAAGATGATGATGGTGGGGGGTCGACGGGTCGCGGTGATTCTAAGTATCTGATAAATAACGAGCTTGACGTAGAGCCGTGCTTCACACGATTGGATCTATGATACTCTCTGTATTAAATATAAGATTTATTTTATAATATAATTATATTTAAGACTAAAAGAATGTTATTTGTTATCTCAGGAGAGATAAATAATAATACTATTATTTATAGTTTTGGATGGTAATTTTTTTATAAATCCATTGATATATTAATCGATGTTGAACTTTTATATTTTATTTTTTAATTTTTAATGACTCTCCCCCCCCGTCCAACGTAGCGTGGGCCAAAAAAACAATAATGGTGTTTTTTTTAAAAAAAAATTTCTTGGGATTTTTCGTTGAATGTTTTTATTTTCATTGAATTGTGTCTTTTTGAGTTTGGAAACACCCATAAATACTTTAAAAAGTATTTTTTTTAGTAAGTTGAGAAAAAACTCTTATCATATATTTATAGCAAACTCTGTAAAATTACTTTTAAAAAGTTAATTCAAATATCCGTTTAAGTTACATTCCCCCTGCTTGACGGTTTCATATATGACATAAAAAAGTGACTTTTACGACAAGGGTATTTTCTCAAGTGAGTTAACACTTAACGACTACTGCAGAAAGTTTCCAGCCGCTTCCAATATAGAGTAGTTAATTGAGAAAATGAAGAAGCAAGTGAACATGTCCATTTTTTAGTAGTAGTAATAAAATTTGATCACGTCAACCTGACGACTACATATAAAATTAAAAAGGGATAGACCTTTTCCACAAAACCAGCGGATAAAAACTTGAAGCCAGTTGAATCCTCGATGCCCTATAAATAATTATACATAATATAGGAAAAAGATTAAAAAATAAAATAAAAATTATATTCTCATTTAAGCTAATAAGGCTAATTGTGGGACTATTTTCTCTTCATTTAGTAATTGTTCAAGACTTCCAACTCCATAATAACCGATATCATTGAATTTTCTCTATCAAAAATATCATTCTCGTTTTTTTTAATATCAACTCATGCATTACATTTTATAATGTGCTGAGAAAATGTGTTGTTAATACCTGTCGCAATAGTTGTTAATCCTTATATCTTAACTTGTCAATAACTGTTCTTTCAGTTGTCAATGTAAACTAAAAAGGCAATTTGTTAATTAAACAAATAAAATTTATTATAAGAAGGTCTCTTGAAACTTGAGAATAATTTGATGATTTTGAGGAATTTTTATATATTTAATTCTCTTAAGTTAAGTGGGAGTTTATTGCAATTATCCCTTGAATTTTCTCCATAAAAAACATCATTCTCGGTTTTTTTTTTTTTTGGTGATCTCAACGATGACATTATTTGCAATTCATTCCGCCAAGTGGCTGACAAGTCATTGACAAATCAAAGACCCGGCCCGAAGGGGCGGTAACGTTCTCTACGCGCGCAAGTATGGCTCTCTTCTTGCACTCCCTTTTTACCGAACTGCTCCATAACCTCCCGCCGTCCCGAGTCCATGCAAAGCTCACTCCACTACTCTCTCTCATCTGAACGTATCACGCTCTCCTCTCTTCTTCTCCAATCCCACCCTAAAAATTTCCTTTTCTTTCTTTCTTTCTTGTCATTTTTCTCCTCACTAATAATCCTTCAGTCTTTCTCTCTCTGGCGAAAATCCTTTCTCTGGCGAAACTCCTTTCTTTAGAATCGGACACTGCCAAGTCCCCTTTCTGATTCTCTCTGCACTCATACTCTTCTATCAGATATCGGAAAGAAGCACAACCTGACTCTTTGGCCGCCCTTCTTTCTTTCTTCACTCTGGGGGTATCGACGACACGGGCATTACCCGTTTCACGTGATCAATGGCGGCTACTCCAATCGTCGCATCGGCACCAGCTTCGCTTTACGTTGGCGACCTCCACCCTGACGTCAGCGATGGACAGCTGTTCGAAGTGTTCTCGGAGTTTAAGAGCCTCACTTCTGTTCGGATCTGTAGGGACTCCTCCACCGGGAAGTCGCTCTGTTATGGCTATGTCAACTTCACCTCTCCCCAAGATGGTATGTATGATTTCTTGTTCTGCATATTAACTTCTCCTTTTCTATATTGCTGTCTTTTTCGTAGTTCTTTTATCTGTCTTGATTCCTGGAAAATGAGGCAAACTCTCAGAAACACGGAGCTCGTGTGGTGGCGACTGTAGCTTTAAGAATAATGTATCTATGTGCATGGGCATATAGAATCTGATTATAAGAACCGACGAAGAACTTGACATAAATAATGCTACTTGAATTAATTGTTCAACGGCTTAAATAGGATCTTGATTTCGATAGCGATATCACGTCACTCTTCACGGTCATTTCAGTACGTGAAAGATATGAAAATCATTTCAAGGGACGCTTTCCGAAGTACTAGTTTTCCATTGCTCCGTCTCATTTCTGAGACACAATATGGAGGCATGATTGCCACATGATTTTCTGTTTTTCCAAGAAACCCCTCTACATAGAATTCAAATTATGTATTTGTTGAATTCGATTGGTCTCTGGTGACTTACTTTACGTTGCGGGAACACGAAACTTCTGGTTTGTGTCTCATTTGCGATGCTTGGGTTCAAGAAACTGCTTGTGAACATAAGATCTTCGTTGCCCGTGACATGTGTTTTGTGTCAATGTCTAGTCTTTGCGTATTATTTTAATTGGGCTTCTGATTTTAGTCAGATGTTGAAAAACAAGGTCATATAAATGTGAATATATTTATCGGGAGTAAGTAACCTGAAATCCTTGTTGACGCTTTCATATTATTTTTTAACTTCTTCGCAAAACAGATTAAGATTTAGGAGCTTTTGGCGCCAAGAATTTCCAAGGTGGTGATGTGATGTGTTTAACTGGTGTTCTTAATAACATGTTTAGCACGTCAGTTACCAAATTTTTTTCGTATCATGAAGTTGCACTATTGTTCAGGATATGCATGAAACTTGTAGATCATAGTGGTCTGATAATTTCCAATAGGAAAAAAAAAATCAGAGAAATACTGATATCTGAGTATGTTTATCCAATTATCTAGCCCGGCACGGTTACCTTAACTCGTCTTCCTTGATTTGACCAGCTACTCGTGCTCTTGAGGTGAAGAATCATTCTAAACTGAAAGGAAAAATGATAAGAGTCATGTGGTCACATCGTGACCCCGAAGCAAGAAAAAATGGGATAGCGAACGTATTTGTTAAGGTATATGTCCACTGTCCAATGAACCGTTTAACTCATTCTGTGATTCATTATTATTTCTGAAGTTGATCCTAGTTAAAACTGGTTCTGTACTCTTATCATGGCAGAACTTAGCTGAACCTATTGATAATGCGGGATTGCACGAGCTGTTTCAAAACTTCGGGAAAATTTTGTCCAGCAAAGTTGTTACGTTTGAAGATGGCAAAAGCAAAGGGTATGGCTTCATTCAATTTGAGTCAGAGGACTCTGCAAATGCGGCCATTGAAAAGTTAAATGGCTCCACTGTTAGAGATAAACAGATGTAAGAGTTGAATTCTGCATTATTTGATATCACGTCAATATTTGTCAAACTTGCGGCTTGCTAGTACTAAAACATAAAATTGCAATTTCGAATGGGCCGAGACCGAAAAAATATGTTAACTTCTGTCATCAACATCTTAATGTGCATATGCCTTTTAGTTTTTTTTTTTTGCCTTTGTAATTGCTGTATTCAATTTCTTATAAACCACTCCATAAGAGGTTAAGTTTAATGGGACTCTACATCTGTTCACAGATATGTTGGCAAGTTCGTCAAAAAAAGCGAACGCTTCTTGCCTGGTCCTGATTCCAAGTTCACAAATTTGTTCATGAAGAATTTGGACCCAGAGATTACAGAAGAGCTTTTGCAGGAAACGTTCGCCCCTTTCGGCAAGATTGTTAATATGGCTATTGCTAAGGACCGCAATGGAGTATCGAAGGGTTTCGGCTTTGTGAACTATGATAATCCAGATGATGCTAAACGGGCAATGGAAACCATGCATGGATCGCGACTAGGTAAGTTTCTTATGAGCAGCACTCGCAATTGCTTGATGTTGATTCCCTATATTAATGCATGATTTATTGGTTTGTCATAAGCAGGTTCGAAGATTATATATGTAGCGAGAGCACAAAAGAAGGCTGAGCGCGAAAAAATCTTGCACCATCAGTTTCAAGAGAAACGTAAGGAACAGATCTTGAAATATAAGGTAATCCGTGCCTCCTTTCCCTTTAGATTTAACTTTCACTTCCTACTTGATTGTCTTAGTAATTATTGGTCTATATTTCAGGGATCAAACATTTATGTGAAGAACATCGGCGACGATGTCAGTGATGAAGAACTGAGAGATCATTTTAGTTCATGCGGCACAATAACATCCGCCAAAGTTATGCGGGACGACAAAGGAATAAGCAAGGGGTTTGGTTTTGTCTGTTTCTCCACTCCCGAGGAGGCCAATAAAGCTGTGAACAATTTCCATGGTATGTTGTTATAGCTAGCCGCGAATATAAGATGAATGAGTTTCGTTGCTTTATCAATATATATTACGGAGCTAAAAAGATTGGATGTCGATGTGAACAACTTGATAAGTCGTGGACGCTCTATAGTTGTCCAATATTTTTTTTTAATTTTAAAATAATCCACTTTTCATGAACTTTTCACTCAATTGTTCAAGCTTCTGACAGCGTCATTAGAGTAATATCCTATTAGGCAGAATCGGAATTTAAGTTCTAATCTTGAAGATCTTATAGCTGACGTTCTAAGTGTTTTTCTTTCATCTTTCAATGAAGACATAGAAATATCAGGATTATTTAGGATTCTACACAGTGCTATTGGTCAGCTGAGTGCTTCGTCATGTTTTTTTTGGGCCAAAAATTACTTCATCACGTTGGTTTACTTACTTTTATTCAAATCGATTTTAATATGTCACAGGATGCAAGTTTCATCGTAAACCGCTATACGTTGCTATTGCTCAAAGGAAGGAAGACAGGCTAGCACGATTAAAGGTCCAGTATGCACAGGGAATAGCAGGACTAGCTGGACCTTCAACCGCTGTTATACATGGTGGATATCCTCCTTACTACTACGCAGCTACTGGTGTTGTTTCCCAGCTGCCACCTCCAACCGGGCTATTATATCAACCGCTGGGCTTCAGGCCAGGATGGAGACCTAACGGCTTTGAACCTCCTACTAGACCAGTTCAACAGACTTTGGTTTCTGTTGTGAGTAACTACATTGCTTGATGAATTAAAAACACACCTATTTCTGCTATCTTTTTCCTTGTTTAAATTCCGCTCAGGATAAACTGGTATTGTTCTTTAATGGCTGGAATGAGTCGCAGTATGTACTTTTTACTTCTTTTCATTCACAGCCTGCTGCTCCTATAAGGCCGCGCAGACAAAACAGGAGCAGGATAAATGGGCAGGCAATTTCGCAGGGGATTGCTCACCTGGGTACGTTCATGCCACAAGCACAACAGCTTTCTCACTCAATGGCTTCATCGAAAGAATCAACTACTCAGCAGGTTCGCTTTGTCCCACATTATGTTGTTGCTAAAATGTTTGAGTGATATATGCATGTGTGCACTGCTCGTTTCTAGTGTGAGATTACACCTTCCGTTATTTAAAGAACAACGAAATTTTTGTTGTCACTGATCCGGCTACATATCGGAAAAGTAGATGGCTGTACCGCTTGCATTTTGTGATTCTTTTGGTTCCATTAACTGCAGAGGATTGGACAGACTAGGAATATGGCCAGCGGGCGCCAACGTGACATGGAAAAAGGATCTGGAGTCCCATCCTGTTGTCCTAACTCTACTGTTGGGATTCAAGGATCGAAAATGCTCCACTGCATGCTTGCTGCTGCCACTCCTGAGCAGCAGAGGCAACTGCTTGGCGAGCATATTTACCCACTGATCCAGAAACTCAGGGTAATGGGAGAGCACTATTTCTTTTCTGTCTCATTGGGCTCTGAGGACAGATTTCTTAAATTATGAACTGAAAGAACTTGTTTATAATGTCATTTCAAATAGCCCCGCTTGGCATCGAAGATTACTGGGATGCTCTTGGAGATGGAAATTAGAGAGTTGCTGCTTCTCCTGGAATCTCCAAGGTTTCTTTTGGCCAAGGTGGAAGAAGCTGTGCAGGTGCTTGAGGACTCCAAAACTAAAGAGTCGGGCCAGGATGCACTTCATCCTGGTTACTTTTCAGCTGAGGTTGCTGTGAATTGACGACTTCAATTTGAAGCTAGTGACTTGACCGAAACTTCCGATGACCTAGATTTTTGTTACGTGATTTTTGACATGTATGGAATCTGCAGTGTTTTCCTCCTCGCTATAATTTTCTTTTGGGGGAAAAATTCTACTTTCAGCTGAGGTTTGACATCATTTTTAGTTTTTTATGGTAGCAGCGGTGAGATTCAGAGATTGATTTGTTTTGGATTTAGATTTTAGTGATTGACCGAAGGATGAGTACTGACAACGCCACTACAAAATAAACATAACTCGGAATTTTCACATTGAATACAAGAATAACCATTTTTTGATCGACGAGTCCAGTTGATTAAAGCTAGTACTATTTCTGGTATTTAATATAAGATTTTATTTAATTTTTATTTTAGTTTTAAATGTAAGATCCCAATCTATTTTGCTCTTATATTTATTTATTTATTTATTTTAGATAGTCCTTCTAATAAACTTAATTAATGAGGATATTTTAAGAAAGACAACACCTATTTATTATAAAAAATTAACTTAACTTATTTTTTAAATTTATTCAAATTAGTCAAGTAACTCTTGTATTTAAAACCATAACTAGTATTAGCAAAAATAAACCTCCTGATCCCTATAATTTCAAGGAAGTTTGAAATGGGGCCTGTGATCAGAAATGAATCCCTATAATTTGATCTATTAAACACGTTACTCCCTTCCCAATTAGAAAGATACTCGGGGTGTTTGAGAAGCTTTAAAAATGCTTCTCAAAAACACTTTTCTGTAAATTGAGACAAGCTCTTTCACATATTTATTTTGTATATCGTAAAATTACTTTTAAAACTATAATTTCATTTATACCCAAACACCTTCTTAGGGTGTGTTTGGATAGAACCAACCATGGTTTCAGAAGTGCTTTACGGATTACGAAGTAAATATGTGGAGGAGATTATCTCGTTTTGCGGAAAAGTGCTTCTGAAACCACGGTTTGGGAATACCCAAACAGGCCCTTAGTCCTTATCTTTAAGCCCATTAGTTTTTGCTCACTTGGCTAATTGAGCATGACTCAGCTTTCACGTGGCAATAAAAAGTATGATTACTTTCCAGTAAAAAAGAAAAGTGAAAAAAAAAATCTAATTTTTAAATGTGTATGAAAATTTTTATTTTTCAAGAACCATTGTTAAACTTTTTTTCTTTTGGGTGATCTAAGGGGATATTAGGGCCTTTGGCCCCCCTAATCCCCCGATATCCGGTACCTTTTCTAGGCCCTAACCTTCTACTGGGTCAAGTAAATTCGAGCAACCGACTAATTCGGAATCGAGATTGTGTGAAGCGCATCCTATAACACTTTATACCAAGATGAGTAGCACCCTTTACATACTAGTGTGCTTCAAAGATCGAACTCAGGTTCTCACATTGGGAGCATCAGCCGCTAACTACTGCACCCAATGCTTGTTGGTTAAACCTTTACCAAACAGCGAGCGTTTGTCCATTATAAAACGCATATCATGAGCATGTCACAGCTTCTTCAATAACTATAAGAAGCGTCTTCTTTTCTCCGTCCTATTATTCCTCGACAAATTTTAATAATTCAGATTTAATATCATATAATAGTTACTATGATTTTACAGATAAATAATTTTTTTTCATAAATTTTGACCTAAATGGTTCACAAAATCAAAGTTGTATAGTTTTCTGGATAGATACATAATTGGCTTTGCTAGCCTAGACTTGTCATTAAGAGTGTTTAGATGGAAATAAAACTATAATTTTAAAAATATTTTTACAATATACAAAATAAATGTATGCAAAAATTTGTCTTGATTTGTAAAAAAAAATTATTTTTTAAAAATACTTTTTGGTTGTTACAGACACCCCCAAAGTTGAATAAGTGCCCGTTTGGATCAGCGATTGGGAAAATAGTTTATAAAAAAAGTAGCTTATAGAAAAGTAAAGTGAATTGTAAACTTTGGATTGGAGTTCAGAAAAGTTAGTTTGTAAAAGTGAAATTGGTAAAAGGTTGTTTAGATCATAATCGAGTAAAAGTAAGTTTAGTTAAAAAATTACCAAAAATGGGTATGAATTTTAATAAATAATGAAACATAATAAAAAAATAACTTCACATAATACAATGAAATTAAAATAAATTAATATGAAGAAGTCAAATTTAATGAGTGAATTAAATTTTAAAATTTAAGAGAAATAAAAAAAATATTTTAAATATAAAGTGAAACATGGAAAAAGAAGAAGAATTGAGATAACATAATGAAGAAGTGAAATTTAATAAGTGAAGTAAAATTGAAAACTTTAGAGAAATCATAACAAATATTTTAAATATAAAGTAAAACATGATAAAAAAATAAATTGACACAATACAATAAATTTAAATTAATTTAATATGAATAAGTGAAATTGATTAAGTGAATTAAATTTGAAAAAACCATAAAAATGGAAAAGAAATAAGGCAAATATAAAGTGGGAGTTCTGGGTTGAAAAAAAAAAAAAAACAGAAGTGAGCTCGAGGGAGGAAAAGGCAGATGGGAGAGAAAAAAAAGAATCTCATTCTTTGACATTGTTGAACGTCTAATATAAGCTCTTCTCATAGATGAATAAGCTCCTTCTAGGGGCTTATTTTAATTGGGCGTTCAGATAGCTTAAAAATGCATAAGCCCAGCGAGTTATAAGCTCTGCCAAACAGACCCTTACAGCAAACCCATCTTATTTTAAAATTTAAGCTACTTTTAGGTTAGCAAACACTGACACAAACAGACCCTAAGTAGTTTTTGGGCGTTTGGCCTCTTCTGCCAAAAAAAAAAATTAGTTTCTTAAATTTATTTTTATTTTGATTTTGATTTTTTAAGTTTTAAATCATAAGTTTTTGTCTTTCAAATTTTATTTCATTTAGAACACTAATTCTTATAACTTAATAAAAACTTAATTATTTTGTACTTTGAAAGATCAAAACTTATAAGTTGAAATTTAAGGGACCAGAATTAAAATCAGGAAAAACCTAAAGAACTAAATATTATATCAATAGAAAAAATTTTATTTTTTTATATTGATTAACTGTTTATACTAAATATTATACTTTATTTATGTACTTTGATATGGCGGAAAAGGAAGGCCCCTGCGGCCGCGCCTATCACATCCCAAATCACCGCCTCTCTCACCCATCTCCTAAAATCGCATCAATCTCCTCCGATGGCTCTCTTCTGAACGGACTTTTTACATGCGGCTCCACACTCTCATCTATTGACTTTCTCTGCTTCTTTCCCGGGGAATCTCTCTCTCTCTCTCTCTCTGTGCGTAGAAGATAATGGGTAGCGGGAGTAGGAGAGAACGCTCTCGCCGTTCAAGGCGAAGGGCAGACGGTTCTGAATCAGAATCACTTTCCCGGTCCGATGATTCAGATAGCCGTGACTCATCGCCCGAAAGGGGTTCTGACAAGCGCAGGAGAAGCGGTCATCATAGTCGTAGCAGTAGTCGGCGTTCGCGGCGTCGGAGCTCACCATCCGATCAGGACTCTGGTGATAGTGACGAACGGGGTCACAAGAAGAAAAGATCCTCGAGGATCATCAGTGAAGAAGAAATACAAGAGTACCTGGCCAAAAAGGCTCAGAGAAAGGTTTGGAGTTGGTTCTCAGTGTATGTTATTTCATGACTGGAGGATTTTGAACTGCTGTTTTGCTGACATTGTCTTCGTTGTTCTATTATGATTAGGCAACGAAAGTCGCAAAAAAATTGAAGACTCATACTGTCTCGGGTTATTCGAACGATTCAAATCCATTCGGTGATTCTAATCTCAACGAGAAGTAAATTTTCTTCGTCTCCCTAATTTTCCTATTTGCCTTGTCGACTTTTTAATATTGATTATTTTGGTTAGATGCGTTCATAAGAGATAAGCCCTTCATCTTCAAAATTATTAGTCACGCATGCACAGATAATATTATTTGAAGTTTTTTTTTTTGGTTGGGTAGTGGAGCTATTGGTAGCTCGGGAATCAGTGATGCTGGGTTGGGGGCAAGTATTATACTACATTAATAGCCTGTTGACTTTGGGTGAGAGTCCTCTGGTATTTTATTCCTTAATTTGCTGCTGATTACCGAAGTATCTAATGGCGATCATTTTCGAAAACTCTGCTGGAATTGTGCTTGCAGATAAATGCTTGACTAGCCTTCCTAATAGAGATTATTTTTGAAAACTTGCTGGAATTTTGCTTTCAGATGAATGCTTGACTAGCCTACTAATTCTAGCCTTGTGGCTTACATGGAGGATGTGGTGACAGCGGCTTGAATTGTTGGACCTTTTCTTCTTTGGATTCTTTTTATTTGTCATCTTTGGAGCGACGAGCTACAAATACTGAGTTATCTTTGATATTTTGATCTTCATCCTTTTTCTGTGGGTGCTGTGTTTGGATCTTCTTTGGCTGTTTAGGATTTTATGTTGTAATTTTATAGAATCTGTTGTTATTTGTTTTCCTAGATTGTTAACTGGTGCTAACCTATATTATATTTGCAAAATGTTTGTTTGTAGATTTGTTTGGAGAAAGAAGATAGAGCGAGATGTTTCTCAAGGTATTCCACTTGATAATTTTTCAGTCAAGGCCGAGAAAAAGAGACAGAGAGAAAGGATGGTATGTTTTTAACTGAATAGGAACTTTTTCTTTTCTTTTTAACGTCCGTTAGAAAAATATTGCGTTCTATTAATTGAGACTTGTTACTTGATAATTTATACTTTCTAGGCTGTGCAAACGTACCATTTATACTGATATTTTAAAATTCATATGTATTGTGTGTGGTTCACCAAGAAACGAGGAGTAATTTGGGGGACCACAACCTTGACATTCTTTCAACATTTATTGTGGACTGATAATTATTTTTGCATCATAGAAATTTAATATTAAGATTCAATTGCATTTCAATTTCAGAAGTTTATTTTTACAACCAATTTATTACCTATTGATGTTGTTTTATTATTTTCTAGATATATCCCGTGATGCATGTCTAAAGCCTCAACATATGATCTTGTATTATTTATTATAATTTTTTTTATCAAGAAATGTCCTATTATGCGAAGTTCCTTTCTTTTTTTTTTATTTTAATTATTATATCGCATAAAAGGCCATGATGAATGCTTTGAATTTTTCATTTTCCTAACTGAATTGGACTTTCCATACAGACTCGAAGTTCTCATGAAAAGTGTCAATGCAGGCGGAAATTGAAAAGGTGAAGAAGAGAAGGGAAGAAAGGGCACTTGAGAAAGCACAACACGAGGAAGAAATGGTAAGTACTTAATCTGTGAGGCATGGGGCAAAACTTAAGTCGTGCCATCATATGTGTCTAACTGTCTATGTAGACCTTGTATGTAGTGGCTTTATCCTGCTACATAACTTTACTGAGTATGTTAAACCTTGTCTTGAAAAAAACGACAACCCTATGCATTCAGCCTATGCTTTAAAATCGGTCCTGAAAAATGAAGGGGGGGGGGACTCCATTAATGAAGTTGAAGCTCTAAGTGTGTTAAAGATATCTGACAAGTTAATTCTGGAGTGAAGTAAATTTTACTTGATGGTCACTTTACTGTCATCTTTTTTTTTAACCCTGTCAGGCAATATTAGCCAGAGAACGTGCTCGTGCTGAATTCCAGGACTGGGAAAAAAAGGAAGAAGAGGTATTGTGGTGCTTTCAATTATTTCTGTTCTTGTTTGATCTAGTATTGGCAATTTGTTGACTAATACGATTTGTCCGCAGTTTCATTTTGACCAAAGCAAAGTCAGGTCTCAGATTAGATTGCTTGAAGGGCGTGCCAAGCCAATTGATATCCTAACCAAACAACTCAGTGGATCAGATGACTTGGATATTGAAATAAATGAACCCTACATGGTTTTCAAGGTTATTATTTTTAGCTTCAGAGTGTTCTGTTATATGTCTTTTTCCCTTTTAGTCAGTGGGATTCATTTCTTAAGAACTCATCATACTGTCATTTTTGTACCATGTGATTTTCAGCTTTGAATGTCAATATCAACAGATTTTACATATATGTTACAGGGCTTGACAGTGAAAGAAATGGAAGAGCTTCGTGATGACATCAAAATGCATCTTGACCTTGATAGGGAGACACCAACCCATGTGGAATACTGGGAGGTATCGTTCCTTCCCATAGTTAATTTAGTTGCTTTGTGGTCCTTAACAGATTACTTAGCTAAAAATTTCTATATGATGTTAGTGCCATAATCTTCTTATTTTCTGCTGATCTTAATTTGTTGGAATAAAAGTCTATGCATCTGACTTTATTCAGGAGTACATCATAGATATAATCTTAACCTAATAGGCAATACCTAGGCCATTTCTTTGGTACACTCGGAAGTTTTCATTTCAAAGATCTGATTGCTATTGCTCTAATTTAATACTATTGAAATATCATTATCATAATATCTTAACGCATTTTCTGATTCAGTTGCAAATGGCTTTGGAAAACTATGGCATTTTCAGAAATATAGACTTTTGGAAGATTTTGGTTCCTGTTTCTTAGAAGTGTTACATCCTAAAAGTTTAAAATATCTGCTTGGTGGTGTGTAGCAAAATTTCAATGACGATTGAAACTTTTTTCTTGTTTTAAGTGTGCATGTTGTTCTTATTGAAATATGATGAATTCAACTCCAGAAATAATTATGTACAAAAGATCCTGCTTCATTTCTCACAGGATTAGTGTTAGTAGAGACATACCAGATCCCTATGCATTCAAGAGGCAGAGGCTTTCCAACAGCAATTCACTCGTGGTCTGCTTTCCTTCCTCTCCGTCCCCACCTTTGACTACACCTCCAAATTTTTTCTTTTCTAATGGCCAGTGGCGTACAATTCCTCATCTACCCTCTAAAATCTTTTGGACTCTCTTATTTCGTGTTCATGCTTCATAGTTTTCCTGGTATAAGTAAACAAAGACCCATCTGTCTCCCTCTTCTTTCTTTTAGAATGTGTCAACAATTGAGGTCCAAATCCATTCCTATTAATATGCAAGATTTTGTGAAATGCCTAGTATAACTTCCAGGCAGCAGACTAGAAAATACATCATTTACTATTTTAGTAAAATGAAGGAAGTAGTATTTTCACTTGTCTAGGTTCACGTGTTTGGTAAAGCTGAAATATGAAGGAAATACTGTGGTAATGGAGAATAGTTTGTTTTGATTCTGAAAAACATTATACAGAAATCCTCGAATTGCACAGAGCATGAGATTATCATTTAAGCTGTTTTTGTAGTTTCCGAACAAAATAGATTTAACATTCTTGCTCTATTTACCTTCTCCTGCTTTATCCTTTCTGTTGGTTTTCCCAGTTTGGATTTGAAGACTTCATTTGAATTTCATTCACTGACGAAGTAATCCCCAAGATCTTGGTTACATGAGCAGGCCTGTCAGCTCTCCACTATATTTATGGTTTTACCCAAGCGGAATTGAAGGACTGGGAATCATTAAATTCTGCGTTGTTTTATCTTTTCTGTTCTTCTCTGCATTTGCATGTAGGTAAATGTAAATTAGGGTCTTCCATTTGGCTGCATGACATATCTTTCCTGTGTCAGTAACTTGTAAAACCTCAGGATTTTAGTAGTTAGTTTGTCTTTCCACAATTCATGTTCAAAGCTGAAGGCGTATTTATTCATGTTTACTTATTACAGGCACTCCTTGTGGTCTGTGATTGGGAACTTGCTGAAGCTCGTAAAAAGGATGCTCTTGATCGAGCTAGGGTGCGTGGGGAAGAACCGCCTGCTGAGCTGCTTGCAGAAGAAAGAGGTCTGCATGCCAGTGTTGAGGCAGAGGTGAAGAATCTCTTGCAAGGGAAGACTTGTGCTGAATTGGAGGCCATGCGAGTGCATATTGAGTCTCAAATGAGTAGTGGTACAGCAAAAGTGGTTGAGTATTGGGAAGCTGTTTTAAAACGCCTTCACATATATAAGGCCAAGGTATTTTCCATTATATATAAAATCTTTGTTTGTGTGACATGTCGTGAACAATGGCTCTCCATTACTAATTGCCATAACTGTAGGCTTCTTTAAAGGAAATCCATGCTCAAATGTTACGTAAGCATTTGCAACGCCTTGAGCAACCATTGGAGGGCGATGACAATTTGGAGAATGCTTATGGTACAAAATCTGAAGAGGAGGACATTCAGGATGATGTTAAAGGCAAGTTTTCTGTTATTTAATTGTTCGTGAGACATTGACTTGTCTTCAGAATTTTGTGTTTGAATTTGCCCTTTTTCCTTTATAGTTGGAGCAGCAGATGAAACATATTCGCCAGAACCCATGAAAGGGGAGGATCAGGAAGCGGAAGATGAGTCTGGATCCTTTTCACCAACATTGTTGCATGGTGATGAAAATGAGGAAGCTATTGATCCTGAGGAGGACAGGGCTATCCTGGTAACTTCTTGAAAAATACATTTTAATTGTGACTGTGTGTTTAGGAATTAAGTATACAGAAGATGACTCGATCATTTGTGCCCGCACAGGAGCGGAAACGAATGGCTGTATTAGAGGAGCAACAAAGACGAATGCAGGAAGCAATGGCATCAAAGCCTGCCCCATCTGAAGATAATTTTGAGATGAAGGCTATGAAAGCTATGGGTGCTATGGAAGAAGGAGATGCACTTTTTGGGTCTGGAGCTGAAGTAAATCTAGATTCACAGGTATCCTGCCTTAGTCATTTGAGTAATATTTCACGCTTTGAACTATAACTGGCAGGAAATTCATGTAGATAAGCATGATTGCTGGAGTTTTAAATTTCCATAGATAGATTGAAGTGTCAGTTATAGATTTTTGGCATAAGGACCCAAGTGGCAAATAACATGCTTAAACTTTAGCCTAGCAGCCAATAACTTCTTCTCTCTAAAGTGATGTGAATTTAGAAACATTAAGAATATCATTGCCCGTAACTGTATTTTTGAGGGGGAATATTCACCTAAGTTCATTGTTTGAATAGCTTCTTGCCAATTCTTCATATCCTTAAGGGAAAAAGAAAACCTTAACTGACCATATTTCTGTGTTCCTTTTAAGCTTTGGTGAATGAAAGGCGATCTTTGCTTGGTTTTGAAATTCAAGAAGGTTAACTGTCAAAAATTTAGACCAAAGGAAGTTGTTTGCCCTGTTTTGTCATAGTTGAATTGGGTTCTTTGCTTCATAATTATTGTAAGGTATAGAAGGGGCTTTGGAGGACTTGCCATGTGCGTTGTTTTATCCGTTATCAAATCTCTTGGCTACCCTCTGTAGAATAATCAATTAGTTGACAGTAGATGGAGTATTGTGTTTTATTTAGTATCTAATACTAATAATGATGCGTTTGTTATTCTGTTTTTCCTTTCGAACATGATTGATCACTTTTTGAGCAGGTTTATTGGTGGCATGACAAATACCGGCCCAGAAAGCCAAAATATTTCAACCGTGTTCACACTGGATATGAGTGGAACAAATATAACCAAACTCACTATGATCATGACAACCCGCCTCCAAAGATTGTACAGGGATATAAATTTAATATTTTCTATCCAGACCTTGTAGACAAGACCAAGGCTCCAACCTACACTATTGAGAAAGACGGCAGCAATGGTGAGACATGCATAATAAGATTCCATGCAGGGCCGCCATATGAGGACATAGTAAGTCTACTGTTCTTGTTTTGATCAGAAAGATTTATAGTTCAGTCAAGATATCAATTTAGTTATTTGTTCTTGTTTAGAATTTTAGTTCTGGATCAAATTACTTAACAGTTGTCATATCTCTGTGCCAGGCTTTCCGAATTGTGAATAAAGAGTGGGAATATTCTCACAAAAAAGGCTTTAAGTGTACATTTGAGCGTGGAATTTTACACGTGTACTTTAACTTCAAGCGCTACCGCTACCGCAGATAATTTCAGGTGCCGGTTTGCTGGGATTATGCCAATGATGCTGGCAGTCGAGATATATGTCCTGGGCAATTGACAGCTTGCAGCTTTTGGTTTCTTGACAGGAACTCCCAGCTAGTATCAGATTTGTCATGGGATTGTAAATGATTTTGAAGTTATTGAAACGTCTCTTTGTTGTAGAAATAGGTGTGCTAGATAGGGTTTCGAGTAGAGATTTAACATCTTTAGTCTGGGCCTATTACATTCCGACCTTGATTTATTGTCACACCAATGGTATCCTTTTGTATAATGGGTAGTGCCCCTTTTGATGTACATGGTTATTTTGGGCTAATCTAAGTTCACTTTTCTTCACAAAAAAAAAAATAAAGAAAAGAAAAGAGAAGAGAAGAAAAGAAAAACTTCCAGCCTGGAGCATCTCTTGGTTTTATGTTGAATTATTGGCGGGAACTATCATTTTCTTATTATTTAGTGGCCACTGAAAAAACCAGATAGGGACTAATTCCTCCGATTGTGGGAATCTCATCAAACGAGATGCAACCTAGCAAAGTACTCGTGTCAAGTTTCTAGAGGGGGTGGTGTGTGTTTGTGATGCTCCCAGATGGAGGGGCACTTCAGAATCCGCCCATGGCGCGCTGATGCTAGGCTGGTGGAAATTGTGAAATTCAGAAACCGGTGAAGTCATGAAACTAAATGTTGAGGCGCTGATGAAGCCCTGCAAATTGCGAACGTTATGTATGTGATGGGAGGAGCAGCAAGGCGCTGGAATTCTCGCCATGTCTAAATTCACGCTGTGCTTAAGTATGTCAAGAAAGATTGAGTAAAGTAACAGCATTTGTTTTAACCATTTTTATAATAATCGCTTTTGACAAAAATTTAAAAGTATTTGCTTAAAATTTGAAAATAAAACATAATAACATTTTTTGAAAAAAAAATTTAGATTTTGGAATTTTAATTGTTAACTCGTTAACCTTTTTGTTGTGTCATTTAAACCATTGTCTGTTCGCTGGTAAAAAAAAAAAACACTATTGTTTGTTCCTTTTTCTCAGTTTATCATTGATTGGTGAGGATGAATGGAGGTGCGAAGCCTCCCTCCCCAAGCATCATGGGATGTTCGTTAAGAACATCAGTTTATAGTCGCGGGTCAGTTGAAAACAGGCCCAGATCACTCTGGAACAGTGTGTCAAGTGATGCCATTCTCTGGCACCCAGACACTTGGAATAGCCACTGTAGTGACTAATGAAGTTGCTTTTGACTTATCCCGATCATCTCAGCTGATCCCTTTTCTCTGCCCTGTTTTGTTTAACGCGTCTAATTTGTATTGCCCGTCAAGATTATTCCCTCAGAAATGGATTGAGCTAATCGTGACCTTTTAGAGATGCATTCCAATTATAAAGTTGAATTTCCATTTAGTGCAATAGTTCTTTCAATCTCAGATTCACTGGGGATTTTTTTATCAGCTCATGCCATCACAAAAAACGAAGGCATCTAATTCCAGTCTCTCCTTTTTATCCCACCCGACTGTATTGACCCCTTAGAATTTTGCTTCTTTCTAGCGGGCTACACTCACTATCATGTTCCGAAGACCAAAATGCCATTGCCGTTACTTTCCGCATTGACATGATGCCTTCAAAGCTTTAACTTTGCACTGTACGAATATCTAACAATATTATAGCTTCGTACACAATAACGTTCATCTAAACTCAAATATAAATATTGCTAGGTGGCCAATAAAGGTGAAAAAAAAAAACATTGTAGCTAGTGCAGGGGCATACGGGTTACACAGCACACTTAAACAGATACCTGATCACTATTCCTCACTTGATCTATAATTTTAATGATGCTCTGAAGGTGTTGAACAATGTCCTTCATACTTGGCCTTTCGCTTTTCTTTTCTCTCAGGCAGCTGAGTGCTAGCTCTGAGAAAAGTTGTACGCTTGTTTTCACTTTATCGTCAGACGCTTCCTTAGACACTAGGAGCCTCTGATCTACCAGTTCCATGATTGACCCGTTGCTGGCACGTTGACTAACAAAAATTGCTAGGTTTACATCATCTTGCTCTCTTGAGAAATCTATGGCCTTCTGGGAAGTTAAAAGCTCCAGCAACACAACCCCATAACTATAAACATCACTTTTATCAGTTAACTGGTAGTTGCGGTAATACTCAGGATCCAAATAGCCCAATGTTCCCTGAGCACAGGTTGACACATGACTAAGTCCTGGGTTAGCCAATCTGGAGAGCCCAAAATCTGCAACTTTAGCGTTAAATTCATCATCTAGCAGTATGTTTGTGGACTTCACATCTCTATGGTAAATGGGAGTATGTGCAGCAGAATGAAGATACGCCAATGATTCAGCAGTTTGAAAAGCAACCTTCAGCCTCGTTTTCCAGTCTAGGAAGTTAGAATACCTACCATGAAGATGGTCGTGGAGGGTCCCGTTTGAGATGTACTCATAGATCATCAGAGGTTGCTCAGATTCTACACAGCAACCTAGGAGCCTGACTAGGTTCTTGTGATTGACTTGAGATAGAATTGCAACCTCGTTTAGTATCTGTTGGATGCTTTTGAGGTTGCCCAATCTAGCTTTCTTCACAGCCACGACTGTCCCATCTTGAAGTTCACCTCTGTAGACTTCCCCAAACCCACCATTCCCCAAAATTCTGTCTTTAGAAAATCCATTTGTTATTTTTATCACCTCCTTCAGTTTAAACATCCTAGCAGGTGTCTCTCCAGAATTTGACTTTATCACATCTTCTATTGTCTTTGCGTGCTTTGACCGGTAAGAGAGCTTCCAGGACCTCCTTAAGATGATGGCCACAACTGTGGCTAGACAAAAAAAAGTTACAACCACAGTCGAGACTGTTAAGCTGACCCGTGATTTAGGTTTTTTCTTGTTCTTCAAGCAAGTTGCAGCCATAGGGTCCCAATGGTATTCTACCTTGCAAAGACAGCGAAAGACACCATTTTTTTCAGGTGGGGAACAGATAGAAGCTCCAGAGCAATCTTGCTGCGCCCTGCAGAGAGGTTCAGGAGGAGAAGCCCATTGAATTTCAAGACCTTCCTCCCACTGGTAAGCAGGTTTCTCTGCATCTAAATGAAGGATGCTTCTGAACGCTTTACAGCCAGAGCTGTGAAGGCGTATCTTGTATGCTGAAGGCATCCCACCTGGAACAAAGGTGCAACAAGGGCCAACACCACTGGCACACTGAAGAGCTCTTTTGCTGTCAACATGTCCTGAGCTCTCCAAGTAACGGTGACAGAGACTAGAAGAAGTGCAATTGAGAGGAGAAACCAACAGGCGAGGTGAGCAGTTAAAGAGGAAGACTGTGTTGGATGAAGTTATTTTGAAAGGAAGTGACTCGTTTAACGAGAAGCCACCACTTACAGGCATATCTTGGGTAACACATGAACTAGAAAGCCAAGGTGATGGCTGCACCACCAAGCGTTGGATCGAAGACATAATTCTGAGAACGGAATAGGAACTTCCATTGAGGGTGTTAAAGTAGAGTTTTTTAGATTTGGGATCACAGTGAAGGCTATAGGATGGATCACCACAGCTAGGGTCAGTGCTTAAAGGATATGGAATTTGTAAGGAACCACAGTTTGGGCAAGTCTTTTGAGAAGTACAATGATGACTCAGGAAAGATAAAAGGAGGAGGACATAGCTAAATTGGAAGCGTGAACTTATGTTTGGTTTAGCGATCATTCTGCATGAACAAGGGGATGACTAATTGATCACACGTTACAGATAGGAAGAACGAAGGATAAATAGAAGGGCTACTGCACTGGAATAAAGTGGGCGCGATGCAAATTAGAAAGTTGGCTAAAGAATCTATATGGAATGCCATGACAAATTTTGGAGATTTATGGGACCAGTTGATACCCTTCACAGTGATAGGGCGGCATTTCTAGCTGTTTTCTCTAGATTGGGAATTTGCATTTAGAAAAGGCTTCAGCATTTACTACTTCGGTTTTGAAGAGTTCTTTCTTTAATCTAATCGAGCAGAATATGATTAAAGTGAAGAAACTGCCCATCAAGGCATAATAAAATATACCACAACATTATGGGCCTCGCACTACGAAGTCCATGTGCAAGTGTCAATATTTTCTCATTTATTTTTTCAGATATAGGAACATGATGCCATAAACACAAGCAAAGGTTCCATGTAGACCCGACATAGGCTTCAACCTACACTATTGAGAAGGATGGCAGCAATGGTGAGACAAGCATCATAAAATTTCATGCAGGGCCACCATTTGAGGACATGGTAAGTCCACTGTTTCTTCTTCATGTTCAGATATATTTTAACGTACTTTTCGTTTCAAACCAGGTCATCAATTCCTATTTTCAAAGAGATCACAGTAAACAAGATTATTGATGTTTTGATTCTGTACATGTATGTTTATAGCAGTCCCTATCATAGCTAGACATCAGCTCATAGTCATGCTTAAGTAATAATTCTTCGAGTCCTTTAATTTCCCTCCCTTCTCTCTGTGAAAACAAACAAGAAAAATAGGGGGGGGGGGGGAGTAAAAGAATAATTCAGGCGTTTATGTGGTGGTCCTAGGGTGCATAATCACTTTGGAGTAGTAGTGAGTTCAGTGCTGCCATTACCATCAATGGAAAGTCATTTTTTAATAATAATCCAAAAAAATGGAAAGCCTTTGGTGATCCCCATGATTGCGTATCCCACTCTGACACACAATGTTACGGTATATGCATTGTAGTGACTAATGAAGTTTCTTTTGACTTATCCCACTTATTGAAACTTTAAAGGGATCCTTTTCTTTACTTTGTTTTCCCCCACGCGTCTAATCCATCGCCTATCAGGATTATACCATCCGAAATCTTATTCCTATTCTGGTCCCTCAGGTATTGTGACCATCTTTTAGAAAAAGGAAGACGTGCCTTGAAATTTCAGCAGTTTGATGTTTTGCCACGTTATGCTGCAAAGAATCTAAATATATATTTGCCGATGTTTTCCTTAATGTAAATTTTAAAGGGACAACACGGAATTTCTCAAACGAGGCCAAGATGATCCGTACGTTCATGAAAAGCAAAACAAGCTCTTTCTAGTGTGGCTATTGATTCATAGAGCTTTGTCCACATGTTATTCCGTATCATTACTGTTGTTAGCGGTATGAATAATATGCGCCATTATATGATGTGTGTGTGTGTGTGAATTAGATGACATCAAATCCCTTATTTATATGGACTGAAGATTAAGATGATCAACCTGATGCTTTAGAAAGAGAATAGTGAACCCGAGGAAAAGCCATCATATATGGATTGAGCTAATCCGAATCATGACCTTTTAGAAATGCATTCCTAGTATAATAAAGTTGGATTTCCTTTTTGGTCCATCTTGTGCAATAATTCTTCCAATCTCAGATTCACTTGGAATTTTGATTAATTTATTCTGTCACAGGAAAAAAGAAAGCATCTGGTTCCAAACTCTTTGTTTTTCCCCCATTCACGACCCAACCAAGTCCCCATTCAGAATTTGCTCCTTTCTATCTAGTGGGCTATGCCCACTAATGCCTACTTTCCATGTTGATATGATGCCTTTGAAGCTTTTAACTCTGCCACATGTGAACGAACATCTAACAGCGGCAAAATAGTTTCTTAACAACCTTCATTTAAATGTCAAGACCATAGGAGTTACATAACACACTTTCACAAACACGTGCCTCATCCATTAATCCTCACTTGATGTACAAATCCTAATGATGCATTGATGGTTTTGGACAAAGTCTTTCGTACTTGGCATTTCATTTTTCTTTTTTCTCTGAGACAGCCAGTGCGAGTTTTGAGAATAGCTTTTTATGCTTGTCTTTAGTTTTCACTTTAAGAGATAGTATCAACAATGACAATTACTCTCTATACAACTATGGTTAAAGGCCGTCATGCGTTCCTAGAGTAACACTATCTCTTACTACTAAGTTACTATTACTCCACTTTTAGCTTTTAGACTTGCGTCTTTAAATATCCCATGATACGGGAAGGGAAACTTCAGCTTTGACTAGTGTTTGGCTGTTTGTGCATCTCAGAATGAAACCAGTAATAGCAACATGTTGATGTCTGATACAACCCACAGAAACACATCACCTGCAAATACCACCCACGTTCTGCGATGACGTTTTCATAGCTTTGAAGTATGTTCTGTCCTACATAGACAAAATAATGTCAAGCACGCTCTTTACTTTGAAACAACATAAAAGGGCTCTCAATAGAGGGAGCAGAAGTCAGAAAAGAGTTAAAGATTTAACAGATATTTTTGGCTGTTCAGAAGAGCCACTTCTGGTATGTGGCACTCCGCTAGGAAGGATTAAAGATAATGTGCGCAAGTCTAAAATTAAAGTGCGAATGAAAACTTTTCAGAACGCCTTGCAAATACCAGTCGTCAAACGAATCGATATTATCAACCTACTCAAGGAAAGTTTACAAATTCTCGCCCTATTTGTTTTTCGCTTATTCTTTTCCAGAAGAGAAAATTGAGAATTTCAAGGTTAGTTTACACAAAATGTCAAAGTAAAAGGTGCATGGATGGCGGGGCAGCCCCCTCTTGACATAATCTCTCAAATTATGTTCCTTCGACATTTAAATCGCCGAGCAAAATGAGGCCTTACTCATAATATAATAAAGCTCAGCCTTCAACTATCTTTACCGCAGTCCTGCACAAGACATAACCAATAGTATCAACTACACAAGTTATTATAGTAGCAATATACAGCATTCTATTTCGAGCACCGTTCCTTACCCAAACGGACTTTGTTTGATGGAAAGCAGCTCAACATCCAACTGCAGTTTGGGAAAAGTAGCAAATAGTAAAAATGGATATGAAAAATAAGGTAAAAACGTATGAAAGTAATGCAGCACTAGACTGAGAACCTCACTGACTAATGTGTAGGAACTCCTAAGCTACAGCATTAACAAATATAAAACTAAAATCAGAAAACGGTTCTTTACTACGCTTGCAACACTGATTGTACAGCCTTTAAATTAAGCACAAGTATATTAGGAGTTTGGATCATGGAACAGGCGAACAGCCCCTTCCAACTAAAGCTAGCTTCCTATGGACACATTAATTATAGGAAGTTATTGAAAGTAATGGACTCCTATGGATAGTGAAGGAGTTTCTTAACAGGTATATATCAAGTTGGACAGCTTTATGAGTAGATATTACTAATTACTATAGACCCTGTGATCTGCAGCACTAATAACTGTAGCATCTTCCTTCGGATAGAAACCATAGTAAAAGATCAAACAAGTTACCTCTATTGTTGCATTTGGAGGGATCTCCTGGACTCCTTTGCTTCCATAGGCCAGTTCAGGAGGAACAATTAACAACCTCTGCAGAAAACTCAACTAATTAACTGCTCTCCTTTCATTCAAAGACATAAGTGAGAATCTGAATTTTCTACCTACTTCCAAAAACTCGTATATAAAGGTCTGGGGGCTAGAAATTTAGAAAGAAATAAAAATCTGTTGTTTATATACACAAAAAACTTGCATGGGTATTGACAATAGAACCTATGAAGCCCAGGGAAATATTCAAATACATGCTTAACTCAAAACTTCGGGAAAAATTCTATACAGACGCCCGTTAGTCATTACAAACTACTAATCAGTGCCCCAATGAAACTTCCTGCCAATGCCCAAAGAGGCTTGATACAGAGAGTTTTATAGATTGTATGGCTTTTAATAACATAGTTGTGCCATATAACGAAGAAGTCTGGTATTACGATCTATCATTACCTGGCCTCCTACTCGCATGCCTTGCACCCCTAAATCTAACCCTTTAAGGACATTTCCATTCTCAGATTGGCCTACATCAAATCCATATGGCTGCAATAATTTAAGAATCTCATTAATCGATAAGTTTCCACGCGAAAAATATAACACAGACACACAGACACACATCATGACTATCCAGAAACCACTCTTGCTGCAGTAACGAAAAACACATTGCCAGACTGAAGAAACTCGATGAAGATCATATATAAAGAGGTGCAAAACTTCTGGAGTTATATTGATCATACCGTCCCTCCTCCAACACCCATTCCTTGTCTGCTAGTCATAAATGTAATATTCTTCCACTTAGCAACATAATGAACCTGCAGATTGATAATTTAAATACATCTGGGTAATGGATAATCAGCTACTAGAAAGAAGCCAAAATGATATAGAGCTGCAAGCAAAACCAGGACCAATGGATAATATTGAAAAACAACCTATTGATATTAATCAAAATCATTATCAAGATCGAAATTCTTATGACGACTATGTCTGTTATAAGGGATCCAAACAACCATAGTTTCCAATCACATATTCAATATAAATTAATTAATCATAAATACCAACATTTCCATTCTGCATTACAAAAGGGGTTAAGGCCATGAAGAAACTGACGATATTCATACAAGATTACAAGTAGATGCATGTGCCAAGCACTGGACAAGTTAAAGGTCATATTATTATGTATTAAATCTTCGGAAAGGAATGAATCAGGTCCACAGGTCCCTCGTTTTCACTAGTAAATGCATCCATGCTGAAAACCAATCACTCATATATCACTTTCTTTTGTGTACATATGTGAGCCTTTTGTTCCACAAAACTTCAGGTTGAAACTGCACATCTGAAAGTAGCATGATATGCATCAATTAATCAATTTGGTGAGACCATTGACAAGCTCTGAATTATACCAACGTTTGCCCTTCACAATATTTTTGGACTTAAAATCAGCACTAAAGATCAAGTTTGATGGTATGATTCAACACATATTGTCGAAGACTTGAAGAGTGAATGGTGGAACCCCAATACTCTCGTGTTTTTTGTATACAACGAGCTATGATTTATGCTAGATACATCCTCCCTCGCCCTTCCTATGACCTCATCATTTGATATTCTTCCTCCTTCTCTCTAGAGACTCCCCATGGAAGCAAAGTATGAAAGGTTTAATCTGTTTTATATATAGAAATCTCGAAGCTCTTTTCAATCATAAGTCAACTTTGCATATAACAAGCAAAAGCGAAAATGTGTGGATAACAGTTAACAGGGTCACAACCGTACAGCAACACGGGATCCCTTCACAGCCTCAGCTCCACTCCCAACCTTCAAATCATAATACCTGATGACATCATCACAGTTTCATCAGACAGTTGCATCAAAATAGTTATGAACATTTCTTTCTTTCTTTTTTTTTTTTTTTTTTGGTCGGGGTGTTTAAATGATGTGAGAGAAAGCTTAAGACAATCATAATGTAGCATCACCAAGCAAATAAACCTGACAGGTTCTGATAGTCTAGGAAACTTAATAGGCATATCTATTTCGCGGGGATAAAGTAACAACTTTCATATCATCAGACATAAGAAACCACTTTAGAAGCCAGGAAGATCAAGATTATTGGGGAAGTAAGAGTTATGTACTGACTTGAGACCACTAGGCAGGGTTTTGAATTCACTTTCTGGAATTTTCGATGCACGAAGCTGCAGAAAACCAACAATGGACAATCTCAACTAGAACATGAAACAGTCATTCTGAACAACTGAGGCGATAAGAGGGAACGATGGGAATCATACTGCTCTTCTACTTGTGCTAACTGCTCCAGCCACATCACACGAGTAAACTCCAGCAGCTGAAATAAGACAAAACACACTTTGGCCATGCTAGTGGGTTCTTTAATTGGTATGAATAAAGCAATGAAGTGCTCGTTGTATCTATATATATGTAACGTGGTAGGAAAAATTGAAACAGAATCTTAGGTGATAGTGATCTAACCAGTCGTCAGAAGGGCAGTAAGTAATGCCCTTCTTCCCTCAACCTGCAAAGATAGAGTGGATGGTTCAGGAGCAGGTTGATCAGAGGAAGAACATGAACAACGGCAGGGTAGCCTAAATGAACTTCTGCTGTAAAGATTCTTTTTTGTCCCTGTGGGGATATAAGTATAACCAATCGCACGTTAGCTTTGGATTGAATTCGGATAAAGCCGGGGCTCGAAAGAAGAAGAAGAAGAGAGAATTTACTTGAAGAGTGAATGGAGCTTAGAGGGGAATGGAGGATCGTGTAATGGCTGCACTGATGACGGAATAGGGAGAGTTCCATGGGGTTAGTTGACAGTTAAGAGATCAGAATCTAACTTTTTTTCTTCGTTTCGGGAGTGGACAGAGAAGGAATAGAGGATAACGTTGTTCCTTTCCTTCCATCCACAATTTCGAAGCATTTACAGATCACAAAATTTAGTGTCTCAGTCGGAAGATTTTATTACCGATATTTCACGAATAAAGCACGTTTGTAAACCCAGAATCCTCTAAAAAGAATGTAAAAACAAATAATTAATGAGTTCTTAACATGATTGTTCTAGGTGACCAGGCAGTGTCTTCGGAGAATTGACATGGGACCTCTGAGCAAACCAGAAATTTTTACGTATATAAACTCAAAAGGACAGTTAATTAATACTATCGTGATTAGCAAAAATTAATTTAGGTGGCAAGTTGTGTTCTTGACTTGAAAATCTTTTAGCCGATTTTTGATATTAGTGTTATTTAAAGTATAACCGTCACTTCCTAAATTCAATTCCATTCATTTATATTTTGATTTGAATTTTATTTTATTCTTTAATTTTTATATTCCTTCCTTTGGTTTTCTATTTAATTCCTTAACTTCTTAAAAAAAACCAAGAAAAGTTTTATTGCTTTCAAATATTAACAAATTATGGTATCTTTGTTATTTTTTCTAATACTATATTTTTTTTCGTTGAGTGTTAGGAAATATCGAAAGAGAAGACTCTTCAATTCCCCCCCCCCCCCCCCACAAAATAGTTTCTGCTACATTGAACAAACTAAAGTAGGGGATATGTGTCCATCATAGACATGAGTTATTTCTGTGCTGTAAAGTTATCTTAGAATATGTACATGACTGTCGTTATTTCAGAAACCACTCTGCGGTTTACTGCATAATGTAAGACTAAGAGCCTGTTCATGCAGGAACTGGAGTTTTCTCTGCTCCCTGTGACTCAGTATGGCTTTCATGGCCGTCTTTCTCCGTTAGTCCCACTGGGCTCACTCTCGCTTTATCACTGCCTTCCACCCATCTCTTGACCTTTCTCAGCAACTTATTCTTCTTGGAACAAACACCGTCACTTGGAACAGCTCCAAAGCAAGGCATTGGCTGATGATCCTGCTCGATGACCGAATCATCTGTGTCATATTGTGTAATTCCATCGCTTCCTTCTGACTTCTCTTTCATACGCTCTCTCCCCTCATTCTTCTGTTGCCCGTCTTGCTTCACCAGTTCATGCCTTAGGCAAGCGTTGATCCAACGCAGCTGAATCAGTTCTTTGACTTCGTCTTCTCGTTCTCTCTTCAGTTCCTCCATTTCCTTCACAAGTTGCTTATATTCTTCCTTGCTCGCATCTAATGCTTCAACCTTCATGTGGGAAACCTAGTCTTCAATGCTCATGAAGACCAAAATAATTCCACTGTTTTTTTTTCCATTTTAATGTATATGTTGCTTACCTTAGACGCGTACGATTTTTCTGCCTCGTCGAGATTCTTCAGAAGTTCGTTCTTTTCATTCTGCAGTTGTTCCAAAACGCTGTGTAGCTCTCTCACTTCGTTCTTTATTTGATCGATAACATCAGTACTCGTGCGCAAGGCGTTGCGGTTTTCCAGAATCTCAGTTTCTGAGGCCTTGATCTTCAAAGCTTGCCTGTTCGTCAGTCGAGACTGTGCCTTTGATTTTCTCTGTAGCTTCTTGAGCCTCCCATGAAGCAACCTGTTTTGTGATTTGCAACCGTCAAGCTGCTGAGTAATTCTCACGTATTGGACCAGAAAACACTCCAACTTTCTGTTCTCTGCCTCCATGAACGAAATCTCCTTCTCCAATAATTCAACGCGAGCAGTCTCCACCGACAACAGATTTATGACCTGCGTCAGCAGAGATTCCCGCTCTTTCACATCGCAATAGCGATCAAACTGCAAACGCAAATCCGATTCTCTCTTTTGCAGATCTTCAATCTGGCTTCTTAGCCGACTAATCTCTTGTTCTAAACTTGGATTATTTTCGTGAGATGCCGAGTTATGTTCTTCCTTGGAAGGGAGGCCATGAGAGTTCTCATCAGGTTTGACTCCCTGCTGAGAATCATTTGTTTCAGGGGAACTGACGTCTGGTCTGTTTAGCGAGGGCGTGGATAGGCTTTTCTTGGCAATGATCCAGGCATAGACGAGACCAGCCACAGATAAAACGGCCAGAGGGACACCGGCTTTGAGGACTAATGGAGTTAGGAGCTCTGTTTTGGAGGAAGTGTTGTCCATACAGAAAGATAGAGGTGTTTTGTTGCAGTTATGTGGTGTGATGGTGAAGACAATAACCGATTAAAAATGCTGCAATAATCAAAAGATTGATCAAGAGGTGACGATGGAGAGTTGAAGAATAGTAATCAATGGCGTTGCTTGGTTGAGAGGAACAGTGACGTGCATCTTTTTGACTGCTTCAAGAGACAGAAGCAGGGGCCTTCCACGCCAACATCATTACTGCTGGAAGCTCCTTGGAATCCAATTCCTTTCTGGATGGAGATGAACCCCTTTGCTTTTTCGCAAATTGACTTTACCCACTTAAGCTTCTTTTCTTCCCCGGAATCTTGATGTCATGTTCTGTTACTCATATTCCTCGTCTTAACTGATTTTTTTCAAAAGAAAAATACCCAAAAAAGAACGTAACAGTATCAAATCAAATTATAATAGTTAAGAAGGACACACACCGTCCGCGTATCAAATATGATAAACCATGGGCCACCAGGATACATATATGGGAATATGTACGTACTATGTGTATATTGGAAGTTTAAGACAGAGATACGAGTTCTTGAGTTTTAAATCGTTATTTTTAGGGTAAGATGATAATATCCACAACAATCAACCAAGATATTGAGTTTTACTAATTTTTTTGGGCCAATTATCGAATTTGTTTTAAATTTTTTAATTGATATGGAAATATTTCGTTAAAAAAATCATCATGCAAATGTTAAAAGTACGTTTTGGAAAAAAGAAAGTTAAACATGTGATGTGATGCAATGCATCATATCGGACGCGCATTATATATAAGTTTTTTTCGCTGGTCCAAAAAAAAGAGTACTTTTTCATTTTTAAAATATCGGTGCTTCATGCTTCCTTTTTTTTTTTTTCCCGGCCAGCAGTGCTTCAAACGTTTTTACAAATGCAACCGGTGTGCCTATAATTTTATAATTTGAGTGAATGAATTTAAATGCTTTTAACTTTATTATGGTATAAATTAGAATAAGGTTAAATGTTTCTTATGAAATAGAAATAGACTAAATTCTTGGAGGAGAGAAAATATTTTTAAGAATGTATCCTTAAACTAAATTAATGAAAATATGTTTGATATTTATACCAAAGAGATTGACAGCTACAAAAATATATATTAAGTGGGTTGGATGCGCGTAACAATTATAAAACTTTTTACAGCCAGTTTATGAATTATAAGTTCTTTTGAAAAATTTATGTGTACTCTCTTTTCAATGCAACTTTACACAACGTGATCCATTTCTGTTCTTCATATTGAATCAAATCAATTTAAGCCTTATTTTCGAACACGCTCCTTTATTATAGAACCATGTTATATTATACTACTTCGGTTTTTAATATAAGACTGTGTTTGATTTTTATTTTGATTCTAAATATAAGACCCTAATTCACTTTGTCTCTCATATTTATATATTTTTTTCCAAGGTCGTCCTTCTAATAATTATAGTTCTAGCCAATATAGTTGATTAGTAAGGATATTTTAGGAAAGACAACATCTACTTATTACAAATAACTAATTTAACCTCTTTCCTTAATCTCCTCAAATTAGTCAATTGGGTCTTATAATTAGAACCAGAGGTAGTACTACCTCCGGTTCTAAATATAAAATTAAACAATCACAATCAAATTAAGTTAATTATTTATAATAAATAAGTGTTATCTTTTTTAAAATATTATTGTCAATCAAGTCTATTGACTATAACTAATATTATTAGAAAGAATATCTTAATGACTATAACTAATATTATTAGAAAGAATATCTTAAAAAAAATAGATAAATTTAAAAAATAAAATAAATTAATATTTTGTATTTAAGAACAGGATAAAATTTATATTAAGAGAGAAGCTAGTATTGTTATTTTTTTTTTGACGGAAAGCTAGTATTGTTATTTACCACTTATGGGGGGGAGCACGAGACAAAATGACATTTTCTGCCGTCGGCAGGGGCGGCGGGACAAGTAAATCACGTTTTGTATTCTTTTTTTTTTTTCCACTCCACGTGAATCAACCACTATCTTAAGCGCTCTCTTTAGTCTTTTCTAAAGTGGGTCCTTTTATTTTTTAATTTGAAAAACGAATAGTGCAGTTAAAGACTTACCAACAGTGTGGTCTTTATTTTATTGCGATTTGTTTCTTTCTGGGCACACCATATTTTATAATTGGAAAAACCATATTACAGGTACTTATATTTTCTTTTAATTTTCAATTTAGTATCTATGTGTTTTTTGTTTTTAACTAAATCTTTAATTTTGCTCTATTAACATCATTAATCCTTATGTAAATACTAAAAATATCAATAGAACAAAGTTATAAGAGCTAATGTTACTAAAAAGATAAAATTAAATGTTTAATTAAAGGAAAAAAAACACATAAATACCAAATTAAAAATTGAGAGAAAGTATAGGTACCTCCTATGATTTTCCCTTTATAATTTATAATGTTATTTTTATTTTGAATAACTTCGACTGTTTATCTTCAATTTCTCAAAAAATATTTTAAAATTTTTAACTTTTCGATCAATTTTTATTAGAGCGTCAGAGAAGCAGTTAATTGGATGTGGAATGTGCAAAACAATAATTCCATAAAAAAGGATGCGTGTGGTTATTGAGTTTAAACTTTATATATATAACGAATTCAATTATTGTTAGGTTTCAGGCGAGAATGAGCTATCTTATAGTAAAGCGTAAATTTTTATCTGTGAAACTCAAATTCAAGACCCTTCTAGAAAAATGTTGCGATTGTCATATTTATCATCTATCCATTTGTTTGATTCGTTAATACTAACTTGGCTTACGTGTTCCCAGTCGAATCTGGTATTTTTCCCACGGGTTAAATGAAGAACTCTACGGGCACCCACAATAAAGAAAAAAAACAGGGGATTACACTTTAAAGTGATGCGCGTGTGCGTGCGTATAATATATGTATTTTATTTGACCAAAGACTAGTTTACTGATTCGCAGTCTTGGCAATTTCTTCATTCCTTCCTACCTAATTATTTTCATCACCTCCTTTTGACGGGTGACAGGGATATTCTTTTTATAAAAAAAAAAAAAACATTATGTTCCCTTAAAACTTGTCCTTACAGTCAGATTTATAGGATAAGGTGTAATGCTTAACATGTAACTTGGAGGCCTTCGCTACATTTCTTGCATTTACAAGGCAATCTCACCAGCCATTGCAGAATTAATAGGAATTATTTACAACCTTAACCTCTACTGGTCCAAGAGTTTTTTAAAAATACTACTCTTCCGATCTCTAATATAAGACCCATTTAATTAATTTGATTAGATTAAGAAAATTAGGTAAGTTAGTTAATTATAAAAAAAGTGAGACATTTTTCCTAAAACACCATAATCATCTTTCTTAATACCCCTTCTCTCACTTTTACTTGATTATAATTGAGAGAGTATCCATAGGAGTAATTTAGAGAAAATTGATAAATATGAAAAATGGGTCTTATATTTAGGACCAAAACCAACTCAAGAATTGAGTCTTATATTAAGGACCGGATGAGTACCTAGTTATCTAATTTGAATAGATTAAGAAAATTATTTATTTTAATTATTTGTGATAATTAAATATTATTTTTTTAAAAATATTTTTATTAATCAAGTAAATTAGCTAAAACTACTATTTAATGAAATCTTTAATATGTACAATTACTATAAGAACTATTATTTAAAAAATAAAATAAATTAAAATTTAATATTTAAAATCAAAATAAAAATCAAATTAGTTTTTATATTAAAAATTTAAACTTATAGTTTTTTTTTTTTTCCCGCAATTAACTCCGTTTTCACAGGCTGTGATCGTCAGCACGTCTTTAAAGATATCGCGGATGACGTTAGAGTACTTGTGCGCAGAGATTAACAGGTCTTAATTAATTATGTTCACAGGGAATCCGATTCCCTTGCAGATCAGTTAGCTAAATTTACGTATGTATTGTCGCAAGGGCTGTACTTTTCAATGATTTAATGTTATGATATTCACTTAAATTGGTTAATTAACGAGGAATAACAGTTAGGCTTTGTTTTGCTAAAAAAAAAAAACAGTTAGGCTTTTTTTTTTTTACTGAAATAAATTTCCGAAACACATGAGAGTTAAAAAAAATACTTTTAAGTACAAGGTGTTTTTTTTTATGAATTTAAACACCTTATGTTAAAAAAAAAAAATTTCCATCCAAACACCCGGTGACGGAAAGAGAGAGGTGACGAGTGAACGCGTGGGGCTCAACGGCTCGTAAGAGTTTGGAGTTTGGACCTTACTCTGGTCCCACCAAACATCTCATTTTCCCTCCATCCAGACACGGGAATTTCTTTTTCTTTTTGGACAAACGGGAAATCTTAGTTTATGAACTTTAAACAAACAAATGATTCGATGAAACCAACCTTCTTTTTGGAATTGTGTGTTTAGGGGGTGCATCATCAATTAAAATAAGCTCTTTTAGGGCACACAAGCCCAGGTCCGATAGAATCGGCGCGTGATTTCCATGTGATCGGACTCCACGGGAAGATTGGGATCATGTATAGTGCAAAATTGCCAATATGATGGATTTTTCGTTGACTCCGTATCCACAATCGGACAATCCCTCGAGGACATCTCCACAGCATCACAAAACCAAATTGGGCAATTTAGCAATGCATGGGATGTCAAGAGCATTGTACTGAGAAGCAGATGGCTGCCAAAATAACCTATCAATTGTGGGTCCGTTTAGATTAGTGGTAGAAAAAATAACTTATTTACAATTTAACTTTTAAAAAAACGAGATTGAGTAAAAGTTATGTTGGACAATGTAATTTATATTTGGATTGATTTTTATAAATAATTTAGTTTGTGAAAGTAAATTATTTGGATTATAATTAAATAAGTAATTTTAGTTTGTAAAATTACTAAAATGAGTATGAGTTTTATTAAATACTATTTCAGGTCTTGATAATAAGACTTTGTTTGTAAATAAAAATAAAAAAAATATCAATTTATACAATATAATAATTTTAAATTATTTATAAACTCCTGTTAATCTCATATTTTTTTATCATTTATTATAAGACATATTTATTTAAAAATAAAAGTATATTTTTAACTTATTTATTACTTTCAACTAATTTCAATTAATTTCAACTAATTTGAAGCAATGGCGATTAGGCGGCGTTCGGCCATTGCATATTTCACCTCATTTGTCTGTGCGTATGGGGGGGCCCATGAACATGTTACGTTCAATGTTGCAGGCACCATAACAGGGAATTGATCACGTGTTTTTCGAGCCCCAACATTTTTATCTGGTGAAGGTTTCCCCTTGCTGGATCAGTCCAAATTCCAAACAACCACTCGGCAAAGCCTTCGTCTTTTACTGCGTAATGAGACCGCGTCCCGCCTTGGGGCCCATTGTCCAAATGAAGAAGTTAAAACCAAAATTACCGACAACATTTTCATCATAAAATTTATTGCTAAAAAGTGTCTAAGGATCAAGCTAGGGCAAGTGATTTTCACTGGGTGCCAATATATATTTAACTGTATGTAAAAGATTTTCATTTTGCTTGTACTTATTGATACAATTAAAGAAAAATCGTTGAAAATATGTTGTACCTGGATAAACAAATTTCAGATAACTTTAAGTAATAAATCTCATAATAAATGATTTTTAGCAACTTTTTCCATAAAAACAGTGTCTTTTTTGGGGTTAAAAAAAACAGTGGCATTTTGAATGCCACTACTACTTCATCCCTTATTATAAGATCATTTTAACTAAATAACACGATTTAAGAAAACAGTTAAAATTAGTTAAAAATAATAATATGTAGCAAATATAAATTTTTTTCAAATATACCCTTATATGTAAATGGATAAATGTGAGAGAGTAATAGTAAAATAAATGAAAAAAGAGAATGTATTAAACACATCAAATTAGGGGTAAAATAGGTAATACTGCATTAAATATTCAGACAAACTCGAAGAGAATGTTATAAAAAATATAAACCCATTTAAAAAATCAGATCTTATAATAAAAAACTGAGGCAGTACTCCAGAAGGATCAAGGGATATTATAATTTAAAGTAAATTGACCTCAAATGATTTGTCACTAGACACGTTTTAAATTCATTAAAGTTAAAGACATTTTTTTTTGGTCAAAAAAATGAAACACGCATAAACTCGAGCTTTGCGTGAAAAGTTTATTCAATGGCAATGTGCTCCTGATGGATCCAGGGAGTGGGGAGTGGGACGTGGGGGAATCAAGAGTGAAGATGAGCCTTGTGTGGAAGCGGAAACAAGCGAGCTCGTCCCAACAAGCGGGGTCCACCCGGAGAATCGAAGGTGGTGCTTCTATCTCTGTCCACGTGGGCTTATACTAGTAGGAGTATCATCTACTGAGCCAGTACATTCAATGCATCTCTCAACTCCATGTTCGGTTCCGTCTACTAAATATTGTACTGATGAATAAACGACATAAATCAGAAAGGAAGATATTTAATTTCCAAGGAAATTTAAAAAAAATCCCATGATTAACTAACCTTGGAAATTAAAAGAATCACATAATAATATTTTTATATATATAAATTTATTAGGTTGTTCTCATTTATCATATTTTTTCTCAATTGTTCTAATTAATTATGGTACTAGACAAAGGAAAAGAAGATATTGGAGCTCACATCTTTTGTGTTTTTTTTCCTTTAACTTCATTTAAAAATAACACAGGCAGAAAAGGAAGGATTTTACAAAACCCCGGGAAAATCTCCCTTTTTTGGGGGAAAAAAAAGGAAAGAAATTTTGACACGTGGTAAGTGTAAAACCCTAGGCGAGGCCCCGCCAGCCTCGCCCGCCTCTTGCTTCCCACCAAGTCCCGCCTTTTTAATACCATCATTCTGCGTCTCTGCGAGGCTGACCTATTCATCATATATATTACAGTACTTATTTTGTTTCACTTGCCTCGCTGCCACCCGTTTTGCAGGAGCAGCCACCCCAAATCGCTGCTTTCTGTTCTGTAATCTCCATTTCCTTCCTATTTCTCTCTCAACCCGCCCACCGCACCGCACCACACCATGGAGGCATTGTCATTCTCCTCCGCCCTGTCGCCTCTTCGTCGTCACAACCGTTTGCACAACTTGGCTGGCAGAAGCAATCAATTTGCCAGAGGATGGTCTGGCAAGCCCTTCATAACCGCCACCCTGTCCAAATCGGCGGTGGAGGTAACCTCCGTACCTTCTTCGTCTTCGACCGTTACCTCTCGAGAAGAAGATCCGCTGGCTGTGATTTCCGTACCCCCTCGTCCCATTGTATCTCCCGATTCTCTACAGTACCCTCCTGGTTACCTTGGAGCAGTCCCAGACCGCTCTGACTGTGATGACAATGATAGCATAATCAATGCCATGGGTTACTTGACCAATATACTTTCTTCTAAGGTCTATGATGTGGCTATTGAATCTCCGCTCCAGTTGGCGCCAAAGATGTCGGAAAGATGGGGTGTCAATGTTTGGCTCAAAAGGGAGGATTTACAGCCCGTATGTTGCAATCTTTGGTGATGTTGGATGGATTTTAGTCCTTTTTACTTTTCATTTTGCTTATTGCATCTCTATACTATATGCGCAATGTACCCTGCTACATCTCCGGCTCAGATATTGATTTGGTGTTAAATAATTATGCCTTAGTCATGAAGAACTTGTTAACAGTTATTAAGTTCCTTTAAACTTCGTGGAGATAATGCTATCATATAATTCAGTTAGTCAGTTCTTATCTCTCTGCATTAGAGACGGAAGCGTTAATCCTGTGTAGAAATGTTGATAGCCTTCTCTTTCGCTATTCTAAATCACCACCTGTACGGTGTCTGTCCCCTGTGGGCGAGGAAGATGGCGGGACGGGTTTTCATTTGACCTTCCTTCGTAGATGCTGACCTTTTACTTCTAGTTTATTACTTGTATGTGTTAGAATTAAGAATTTAATGCTTGTTATCATTGTACTCAATAGCTTGATAACCTTTCTGTCTTGATAGCAGATCTTAAGAAACAAAACGGTATCTTGGAAAATGAATTGTTTGAATGACCATAACGTGGTTTGAGATTTCCACCAAAGTGAAGATAGAAATATAACGATGTCCTACGATGTAGGATTATGCTGGTTTGTCTTGAAATGCCATGAAAAGATTTCAGTGGGCATTATTCATTACAAATTGTATTTAACTTGATAATTGATATTCTATGGTGATATATATATAAATAGTTCATTGGAAAATGTGCATAATTCTTGACTTTCTAAAATTATTCCCATCCTTAGGTTTTCTCATTTAAGCTCCGAGGAGCTTATAATATGATGGCCAAACTTCCAAAAGATCAGCTGGAAAAAGGTGTTATCTGCTCATCAGCTGGAAACCATGCCCAAGGAGTGGCATTAGCTGCCAAGAGATTGAATTGCAGTGCCGTGATTGCTATGCCTGTTACCACCCCAGAAATAAAGGTGGATTTCTTTTTGTTTTTTGTTTTTTTGTTTTTTGGGCGGCTATGTTGCGGTAATAAGTGTAAATGACCAAGTTACATGCTTTGATTTGATTCCCCCGCACTCCTTTAATTTCAGTGGCGATCTGTTGAGAAGCTGGGTGCTACAGTTGTTCTAGTTGGGGACTCTTATGATGAGGCACAAGCATATGCTAAGAAGCATGCAAAAGAGGGGGGTCGAACATTCATACCTCCGTTTGATCATCCGGATGTCATTATGGGCCAGGGAACAGTTGGGATGGAAATTTTTCGCCAAGTACAGGGTCCAGTGCATGCAATATTTGTGCCCGTGGGAGGTGGTGGTCTGATAGCTGGCATTGCTGCTTATGTGAAGCGGGTGTCTCCACAGGTTTGCAAGATATTACGATTGTCTTCTCTACATTTTATGGCATGATTTATAGCAAGAGGAATAACTATTGACGTCTATCGAACAGGTAAAGATTATTGGAGTAGAACCCACTGATGCAAATGCAATGGCACTGTCATTACATCATGGTCAGAGAGTGATTTTGGACCAGGTAGGAGGATTTGCAGATGGTGTAGCTGTTAAAGAGGTCGGTGAAGAAACTTTTCGCCTATGCAAGGATTTGGTTGATGGTGTAGTCCTTGTAAACCGTGATTCAATCTGCGCTGCTATAAAGGTGAGGTTCTTGTTGCTTGTGAAAGCTTGCAATTCGGTGCTTCTTTACTATGATGAGTTAATTTCCTTATGGTTTTTCAGTTTATATTGCATTTTTTTACTTTTTCCAATAACTATTAAGATCTGACAGTAATAGAACTTGTTGCAGGACATGTTTGAAGAGAAAAGAAGCATACTAGAACCAGCAGGTGCTCTTGCCCTTGCTGGAGCAGAGGCATACTGTAAATATTATGGTCTCAAGGGGGAAATATTGTAGTGATAACCAGTGGGGCAAACATGAATTTTGACAAGCTGAGGGTGGTGACTGAACTTGCTAATGTTGGTCGAAAGCAAGAGGCTGTGCTAGCAACTATTTTGCCGGAGGAACCTGGTAGTTTCAAGCAGTTTTGTCAATTGGTATTCTTTGCTGCTTTAGCTGAAAATTCTTGTGGTTTTATCAATTGGTATGTCTACATTGCCTTAACTGAAAATTCTGAGTCTGGTAAACTTTGGCCCCGGCAGGTAGGGCAGATGAATATTACAGAATTCAAGTACAGATATAATTCTGATAAGAAAGCCGTTGTCCTGTACAGGTAATCTTAGTGACTAGGAAGCCTGGATATTTTTTTGACCATTTATATTAATTTGAAGGACATTATCTGTTAGTTTTTCAAGGAACTTATTATCCTTCGAAATTGTGTGTAGTGTTGGGGTTCATACGGTTTTGGAACTAAGAGCCATACAGGAGAGGATGGAATCTTCTCAGCTTAAAACTTATAATCTCACGGAGAGTGACTTGGTGAAAGATCACTTGCGATATCTGGTAAGTTTTATTGCCCAAGTTTCTTTCATTGTTTAATACCTTGTATGCCATCATTTTCTCAAGATTATGACCATATATCAAATTCTGTAGTCATACTACCTAAGTTGCTTGTTTCTGTTCAATTTTCTCTGACACAAGACCATTGTTGAAAAATTGTTAGACGACATGACTGGGATTTGCTCTATGCCTGTAGGAAATCTTGTTATTCTTACATTTAAGCCTCATTAAGGTTGTGACGAGTGTATGATGGTATAATGTCTCCGATGGTGGTATAGCTACAAGTCAGTAATTTTAATTTACAGATAACACTGACTACTTCACTCAGTGAATAGTAGTAGAATAACCTGTCGAACATGTGATGTTGTCTGTGTGTATTGCGGTGCCATGTTGACTCGGTTTTGATTACATGTCAGATGGGAGGTCGATCAAATGTTCAGAATGAGGTTCTTTGTCGATTTGTCTTCCCAGAAAGACCTGGTGCTCTGATGAAATTTTTAGATTCTTTCAGTCCACGTTGGAATATTAGTTTATTCCATTATCGAGGGCAGGTGAGGAGTAGTTAAAGTTTGCTATGTGTTTAAATCTGAATCAAGATGAGAGATGTTATACGTCTTTAATCAATGCACAGCTAATTTCATCCTTATACTTGCTCTCCAACAGGGTGAAACTGGCGCGAATGTATTGGTCGGAATACAGGTACCAAAAGAAGAGATGGTAGAATTCCATGACCGTGCTGACATACTTGGATATGATTATACTGTAGTAAACAACGATGATGACTTCCAGCTTCTAATGCACTGAGGATGGCAGCCTCCATTGTGATTATTATTATTATTTTTCCCCTTAGCGTAAGCTTATGCGATAGCCGCAGTACAGAGAGAGGGGGATGACTGGCAAAGAGAAGGCCTCAAGGCACACTAGCCTGGTTGAGAAGAGCAGCTAGTGGTTTCTTCCTATTATAATAAGTAAGTTATCTGTTGTAATGTATTCAGTTTTACTTTATAATTGGGTTGGATATGAAATCCTCTAATGTTAGATAGTCTTTTCATCGCTGTAAAATAATTCAATCTCAGTTTCATACCATTTTCTTATTTTGATTTTATTTTTAATTATGAGCCGTCATTAACTTTAGTTCACTTGAAGTAGAGGAGTATCAGAAGAAGAAAGATTTCCCGCAGCACAGTGCAACATTAACATGACATTGATAATGATGCATTCGCATAATTATGGTTTGGCGTACGTGTGCTCCTCGTCTTCATGCCACTTTTGTTATGGTAACACCCGCCAGATTCATTTGGATGCTCTTCCATATCTGCGTATAATTAAGCTCAACATACCTGCGTGGGCAAGCAAAGATGTACGCTAGCACTCGCGTGAGGCGTCCCCTTCTGGCAAGGAGGACCACGAATTAAATTATCAGTTAGGTTTTAAATTATCAATTTAATGATAATCAGGTTCTTAATTTTTCTTTAAAAAACAAGTTATAAATAAATTTAGCATTATTAATTGCAGGTAAAATATTTAAATTTTGAAATATAACTTTTAATTTGCTGTCAAGGTTTCTGTTTTCAATGTTCAGGGGGTGTTTGGCCACTATAAAAAAAATGTTTTTTAAAAACATTTTTTTGTAGATTGAGATAAGCTTCTTTACATATTTATTTTATATGTCATAAAAATATTTTTTAAAACCATAGTTTTGATTTTATCACAACATTCTGAATCTGAATTGATCTTTTGGAATATAAATGTCATTCTCCTTGATTGAAAGGCATCAATTGAGAAATACATGGATTAAGGTATATATGTGAGTTAGCTTTCCGTAAAAGTCGCGTCTTCTCCAAAATGCCCATGCTGAGCTAGCCGTGCTTGATTACATCTAATTTTCATTTTCTAAGAAGAGAGTTTCCAACTTGGACGGTGACCATTTTTGATTAAATTCTGCTTAACTTATGGTTAAATAAAATAGGTGTCATGCTATAATCAGCATATTTAAACTCTGGTGCTGCTTGAAATTCCCAAGACGCCCTTGAGATGCTTACCTCAGTCTATCTTCATCCGGGTTATGAACAACTGGAGATATTCCGGAGCATTGGGAGGTCGGTGAGACGTAACTAGGGATGGGAAGCTTATTAAATTGATTGTTTACGGATTTGAAATTTTTAAATTTTCTTGAAAATCATCAATATCAATATAACAGATAAAGCAAGTTGCTTACCTTTTATTCAAACGAAAAAAAACATGTTCAAAAAAACATTAACTATAGTTATCAGTTTTTTCACTTGTGGTTAAAGAGTGATTCTCTGTATTTGCTTCAGAAGTGAGGTTTCTTACCATTTATAACCCGTGTTGATACACACACATAAAGTCAATACTTATGCGTCAATGAATTAAATACTCCTCTGGTTTTACTTATAAGTAATTTCTAACATGTTTTACAGAGATCAAGAAAAACTTTAAACTTTATTAACTCTCATTTAAAATTTAATAACTTTTTAATTTTATCCTTATTTAATATAACACTATATCTCATGTAAACAAAATTAACAAAATAATAAATAAAGAGTAAAATTGTACATCTATATAAAAAATTTCTCTTAATACTTTATAAATAAGACTAAAAAATGTTCTCTCTCTACCTTATAAATAGGACCAGAAGAGTATATGATAAGGATATCACTAACACTGGTTCGAATATAATAAATATCCAAAATATTTTTATGATATTGATGAGATTAAATTATAATTTCAGCGAGCAAAACTAGTAGTACCTTTAAAATTTAACACACGCATCAGTAGTAACTTGCCCTTTTGGCAATTGCAAAGGAATTTTAATCGTTAAAGCCTATCAGCAGTCATTGTTTATTAAATTTGAAATCCGTGTTATTTTGGGGGGGGGGGGGATGGCATCCGATTCTTTTTTATTAAGATTCTCTTTGTGAAGGCCTCCGTATTTTTCAATATCTCGGGAGGAAGATGAACATAAACTCAAATTTTCGTCTTTCAGTTTAACAAGCGAGGTAATTCTCAAGTGTGTAATCCAAGTTTTAAAATTGAGCTGGATCTCTAGAATACACAGAGTCTACTTCCCGGTTTCAATTTTCGGCCTTATAAAAGTTTTAAGAACTCAAACTCTGTTCTTGTAATATTAATTTATGCAGATACATATTTTTTAAAGAAATTTAACGTGTGTCAATAGGACATTGTAAGTATCTTGTGCATATGCAAAATCAAAGATAAATAAATTGATGTATCTCTTTGTTACGTTTTCATCACCCTCCGAATCCAGTAGAATAAATTGTTGCAAAGCATTTGACTTGTAATTAATTTGTGAACATGTTCGTAGAAAGACACGCTGGATAGGGAGGGCAAAATGGGAAGCTGCAGAAAGGAGGCCAGGCGGGGTCCAGTTCCAGCTAACACTCCCAGAACAGGAAAACGCATGAAAGGGCAAAAGAGGAAATACAAAAAGTTGCATGAAAATCTCGAATATTGAGGGAGCAGTATGACGACGCTTGGCTTCACAAGGCCTACCATTTACCACCAACATTTCTACTTCCCACCTCGCCCCCACCTGCACTCTATCAAAAATTCAAAAATTTCTTGCTTCTCTGTTTCATCTCTTTCTCTCTAACGTTTCTACAAATCATGACAGACTTTCCCCAGTTTCTGCTACCCTGATACCTTACATATAGACCGAACTTTCCCCTTTTGTGAAGCCGAAGCTGGCTAGCTAGCTTGCTCTTGAAAAGACTGAGCTTCCACATAATATACAGAAATGGTCAATGCCAAAACAAATTGTTGTTCATGGCGGGGATCTTATTCATCTTCATCAGTCAAACTTTTGTCGTTTATGATGCCTCTGCTTCTGTTTGCCGGCCTCATTTCTGTGTTGGGTCCAAAAGTTTCCTTCTGGCTTGCTGTCGAACGTCTCTTATCCACCTCTGCCAATCCTTCTTCTTCTTCTCAGAAACCGACACAAGGGGTTGTGGATTTAAGCTCAAGCCAGGTGGTTGCCGTCGATGCTCTCAGTAAGCAAGACAGTGCTATCTCTGATCCTCCACTTTCTTCTGCTCCGGTGATCCAACCACTTCAACGATCTGTAAGACAGACATCCCTTTGTTTATCGGATTTTTAATCTTCGATCGGCATCTCTCCGGAACAAAATCTGTTTTATGAGCGACTTTCTAATCTGCTTTTAATAGATGTAATCAAAGCCATTAATGCTTAATCTCTAGTTTTTTCCCCTTATCTTTTCAATGAATAAGACCCATTAAGGCAGTAATGATGGATGTGATATTTGTGAATCAATATGCAACGAGCTTAAATGAATTAGTTTTTCTGGGTATTTTTATCGGTGTATGTCCACTCTTGCATAAACTTAACGTGTTTCTTTTTAGTTGCATCAACTTCATTGTGCAATATTGAATTCTGAAGTCAATGCTAACGTAGATAACTTCGATGCACTTTCTTATACTGTTTTCATTTTATATTTAAATAAATTAAGGGTACTTTTGACTGACTTCTAAGGAAAATCGGTAACGAGCACAGAAATCTTAACTTCGGCGAGTTTGATGAAACTGATTAATTTGACTGCTTGAATTCATGACATAACAGAACAAAACTGAAGAAACATTCAACGTCGACACTGAAATTAGGCCCACCTCAGCTCATTTAAACGAGTCATACGTTCCTGTCGTGAGACAGAACAAGCCAAGAAAATACAGCATCCTAGATAGGACCGAAGCTGGCCTGCTACATGCTCGATCTGCTATTAGAAGAGCCGGAAACGGGAATCAAACACCAGATCCAGACTATGTCCCAATAGGTCCAATGTATCATAATGCCAACGCATTTCACAGGTACCATGCAATCCACGAGCACACCAAGTGAATAATGTCATGCATCTTTCTGAGTTTTTATCTACGTTCACTATCTATACTATCTGATATACGTTAATCCACTCATTATCCCTTGGAAAAAAAAATTAAAATTACTGGGACAGGAGCTACTTGGAAATGGAGAAACAGTTCAAAGTCTTTGTGTACGAAGAAGGGGAGCCGCCAGTTTTTCATAACGGACCTTGCAAGAGCATATACGCAATGGAGGGAAATTTTATTCATGCTATTCAGGTGAACGACCAATTCCGAACAAGAGATCCCCAGAAAGCACACGCTTTCTTCCTTCCTTATAGCGTAACAATGTTGGTGCGATTCATCTATGTTCGCGACTCTCGTGATTTTGGACCCATCAGAAAGACGGTCACAGATTATATCAATATCATCGCCTCCAGATACCCCTACTGGAACAGAAGCCTAGGAGCTGATCACTTCACGCTTGCCTGCCATGACTGGGTAATGCCCTGGAGTTTTCGGTTTCTCTTAGCTCATAAGAACACACACAAACACTAGGGGCAAACATGTACAGTGCAAATTAACTTTGAGGTTGTTTCAGGGGCCTGAGACTTCATTTTCCATTCCTTATTTGCACAAGAACTCAATTCGAGCGCTGTGCAATGCCAACACCTCGGAGGGATTCAACCCAGCGAAGGATGTTTCCATTCCAGAAATTAACCTTCAAACTGGCTCGCTAAATGGTTTCACTGGGGGTCCATCAGCATCGAGGCGTCCAATCTTGGCATTCTTTGCCGGAGGGGTTCATGGTCCAGTCAGGCCTGTTCTTCTGGATCATTGGGAAGACAGAGACGAAGATATGAAGGTTCACAGGTACCTTCCTCGTGGCGTGTCGTACTATGAGATGCTGAGAAAGAGCAAATACTGCCTCTGTCCAAGTGGATACGAGGTTGCGAGCCCCAGGGTGGTGGAGGCAATTTACACGGGGTGCGTGCCGGTGCTTATTTCAGACCATTATGTGCCCCCTTTCAGCGATGTTCTGAACTGGAAGTCCTTCTCGGTGGAGGTTTCGGTGAAGGAGATACCCAACTTGAAGAATATATTGATGAGTATCTCGTCGAGGCAGTATATACGAATGCAGAGAAGAGTGGGGCAAATTAGGAGGCATTTTGAACTGCATTATCCTCCCAAGCGATTTGATGTCTTTCATATGACCCTTCATTCTGTATGGCTCAGGAGACTGAACATTAGAGTTCGACATGATCATTAACTCGCTATCTGATTCTATTGCTGTCTTCTTGTTATATGTCTGCGGCAAAAATGACTGATTATTTAATATTTCTGTCTTGTTTATTGGTCTCTTGCAGGCAAATATGAATTTAATTTTAAATTTTAAATTCTTTATTCAATATGGTTTTCCCGCGGTTTTTTAAGGCCGTTTGGCGAAGTCCTTCTCGATGTGTTTGATATTGTACTTGTGAGGGTAAATAAAATCCTCCTCGTATTCATACTTGGTCTCAAGAAACACCAAGGCAATCTTAGGCGATAGATGATTGGGATTTTCAGTAAAGGATAAAAGATTTGTATGCTATCATTCTTTCTGGGTAAAAAATAAATACCTTATATTAAGGTCAAACTAGAGATTAAGTTAGTAATTAATACTAATTAATTACATTGGTCAAAAGCAAGTTACTAATTAGTGCTCCTCTGCGATGTGCTATACAAGTTTGGTTTATGCCTAAAAAAAAATGAAAATGACAATATAATTATAATTAATATTAAGAGCTTTTCAAACATGTTATTGATAAGAGTCAACATTATATTAATTAGGGTTAATACAAACCTTGATCCTTCAAGTTTATCCTCATTTTTAGTTTTAACCTCTTAAATTTTAAGCCACAAGTTTTGGTCCCTCAAATTTCTTTTCATTTAAAATATTGATCTCTATAATTCAATAAAAACTTGGATTATTTTACATTTTAAGGGACTAAAACCAATATTAGGGTGAACTTAAGAGATAAAAAAATTATATTAACCCTATTAATTATACTAAATTAATTGCATAGAAGGATAAAGTATGAAAGAAAATATTAGATGTTGAAATATCAAATGTTTTAAATGTTATTAAATTGGATGTATATTTTGAACTAATTCAAATGTGAAAAAATTTACGAAAGAATAAAACACAAAGGAAACCATATAAATATACGTTTTTTTTTTGCTAACAAAATTTTAGAAAAAGGATTGGGCTCACTCATGATCCAAGAACAGGACAACTAACACTTGATTTATTGGAGCCTGTCCCTACGGGCACGGGAGCATGACAAGCAAGTCCTTTTTTTTTTTTCTTCTAGCCCAATACGTAGGAATCTTTCAACTTTACTATGTTGTGGTGATGCCTCTCCCAGCACCGTGACTAGAGCCACAACAAAGTGGCACTCCTTAGGATCAAACCTACTTCTTTTATTGAGAGAGTTTGACCTCTTTGCCGGCTAAACCCAAGAATGAGAGGTCATATAATATGATTGGAACACCAAAATAAGATGATAAATAAAAAAGCTATAAAAGCTAAAGCCCAACCCAAACAACAAAAGCACAAAGCCCAGAAATAACACCACAAGAACCTATCCAAACACTACACTTCTTTTTCCAGCATAACCCAAACACTAATCCAAATATGGGAAGGAGGCCTCAAAGTACTTTGAGATAGGATTAGAACGCCGAAGTAAAATGCACCTTTTGTGGTACCCCAAAAGATACATCTCGGGATAACGTGTCACCCATCCTGAGCATGGCTGCCAGGTGTCATTCCCGTGATCCTTTTGCGCCACGTGTCATGTTGACAGTAATAACTTTTCCACGTGTCTTCTTTTCCCTTACCGTTTCCCGGTGTGTATATATACACGAGGCATCCTATTGCTTGACTCAGTAGCATCAGGATCAGTATTACCACATCAAGAAACCAAAAGCCAACTCAAACTTCTTGATTTTGCAATCAAACAGAGAGCAATGGCGTCGGGTCAATTCAAAGAAGACAGAGCCGAGGCAGCAGCTAAGCTTACTGCCAAAGATATAGGAGACGTTAACAGAGAAAGAGAGCGCGATTATGGGTCGCAGTGGAAGACGGAGAGGGAATTCAAGGAGGCGCGAGCCGAGGTAGCATCCAAGCTAGCTGCGAAAGACCTGGAAGACGCCAACAGATTGAGAGAACGCGAGCAGGAGCACCTGGTGGGAAGGGAGAAACAGCAGGGACCCGGCGTTATGGGGTCCATGTTCAAGGCGGTGCAAGACACATACGAGCACGCCAAGGGAGCTGTAGTCGGTAAGACTCACGACGCCGCGAATACTGCCGGCGAATACAAAGACTATGCAGCTCACAAGGCTGGCGAAACCAAGGATGCAACCAAGCAGAAAGCCGGAGAGTTTGCTGAGAAAGCCAGGGAGGCGAAGGACGCCACCGTGGACAAGGCTGCGGAGTACACGGGTTATGCGGCAGACAAGGCCAAGGAAGCCAAGGACGCCACGGCGCAGAAGGCAGGTGAGTACAAGGACTATACTGCTGAGAAAGCAAAAGAAGGCAAGGACACTACCTTTGGGAAGCTCGGGGAGCTCAAGGACAAAGCCATGGGTTTCTTCTCCGGGAAGAAAGATGAAACCCAGCAATATGCGTACGAGACAGGGGCAATGGACAAGGTTTTTAATTGATAATATTGTTCTATAAATTGATTAGTTCTTCAAGTGTTTTGCGGAATACAAACTAATAAAGCTGCGGTTATGCAGGACAAGCTGGGAGTAGCAGATGATGCAAAGGTTACGCTGGAAGAGCTAAAACTGCGGGAAAGATCACATCCATACGAAGAAGTGCAAGAGGTGGACAAATTCAGAAGCGAAAGTGATCGGTACGCCTTTCTTTTGCTTGACATAATGCAGTTACATTAAGATTGAATCGAAGATGATTGGCCAATGATTGTTGTTGATGGTTGCGCGTTTGGCTGGGATAACTATATAGGGGAAGAGCAGCGAAGAATAATATAATGGGCTCAATGGGGAGTGTGGGTGAAGCCATAAAGTCGAAGCTGACTCATCCTTCAGATGTGGTGGAGGAGACGCGCGCCGCCCGGGAGCGTGGTGGGGCTGGGCGGCGCGGGGAGGAGGTGCTGGTCGAAGTGGAAGAGTCGCGGCCAGGCGCGGTGGCGGATACGCTGAAAGCAGCAGATCAGATGGCGGGACAGATCAACGACGTGGGACGAGTGGGAGATGAAGGCACTATCCGTGTGCAGCACCGCAAGAACTATTGACGATCGAGCTACTATCGTGTATGCTGATGCAACCAGTTTCTTATATATATATATATAAATACATATCTACGTAGTTTGTGGCTTCTAAGGATGTCTCGAGTTTGTGTATGTGATAAGTTTGTTTTGGTTTTTTATGGAAGTCTGTCTATACTTGATCATCCTGGTTGATGATATACATGAGTGTAATTTTAATACCCGAAGATCAAATCTGAGACATAATTTCTTGAATGTAATGTCAACTGAATTTGAGAGTGGACTTGAAATATGAAATATTTTGGCTAAAATCCAAACGAAAGTTGTCCATTGCTATTATTCATGCAAGTAAAAATCACGCCAGAAAAAGCATAATTCAACTTCAACCTGGCAAACACTGAAGATCCGGTGAAGCTTCAGTACGTTCGAGGAATTAATCAAAATAACTTAATTGATAAAGTACTAGAGAAGGCATATCCAGATTGATTAATTGGCGGACACTACAGTAATATATCAAAGCAGAAAATGTCATCTCAACCTACAAAAGAAGGGGTGAATATAATCACTACTAATTTTAAGCACAGCATCAAAAACAGGTCTAGGATATTGTAGGTTAGCTTGCTTAGCTTTTTCAAACGGAAGTCTCACAAACTGGCTTTGGTTCGGAACAAAATATGATCTTTTTGTTTTTCGGGCATCGAAAATATTATCCATATAATCAGTAATCTCCAAGCATATAAAGAGATTTTTATTCTATATTAAATATGATTAGAAAGTAGTCGAATTTTTTTTCCTAATTTACTGCCTATCAATATTAAAAAGTCGAATTATTGTCCATTAGAAAACAGAGACACTCAAGGACATACATTTTTGAAACGATAGCATTAAATATTCATTGAACTCTATAATATGGGAAATATTTAGTTAAACAGGAGAGAGAAAAATGGGAAGCTTTGTTTTTCCAACAGAAAAATTGGAAGATATTCTTTAAGGGATTGATTTTCGAAGATCTTTTCGAACAAATAAATTCGTTAAACTAAATGTACGATATCTATCTTTCCATTCCGTAAACAAAACGACAGTATTTACACGGGAATTTAGTAGCAGAGAATGGTTACAGGTCAGAAAAATAAAAATAAAAAAGCAGAGAATGATTGGTTGCGGCAAGTCATGGCGGAGATCGGAGTATTTTAATTTTTAATAGTGGCGAGCGCTGCATCTCGCATTGGTGAATATTCGATTTAATGTTCGGAATTTGGTGGGTGGTGGACAGTGAACTTTGGTAAGTAATTAACTATAACTCTGGGCCTTCATCATATGATGCTATGGCTTCCCTCGTTTTTAATTTGAAAGAAAACCAATGTTTCCGGCAATTTTGGGGCTAAAGAAAATGACGTTACAAAGCATTCCGGTTCCTTCCGGGAAGTGTCTTCCATGTTTTTGTTACGGCACTGAAATCTAAAGCGTGAGGTGGCAGTTACTACTCGTCCCCCTCATATACCTCTCGTTCTCGTCCACGTTATTGCCTTCCGAATTCGTTAGCCGCCATGTCCACCAAAGCCTTCCTCCTCTATCTTCTTTCTTGTTCCTTCGTTGCTCTTCTCTCTCTGCTATTCATCTCCCCCTCCAATGGCTCCGCTCCTTCTGGTTCCTTTGCTTTCGCAGCCAAAACGCAACAAATTTGGCCTGTATCTCTTACTCACATCTTAAACTGATTAAACTGATGCCTTGTGTTGTCTTATATATGGCGACATTATTAATGCCCTGTTTCTGGGTCCATCCAGGACCTCAAATTTTCATGGAGCCTTGCCATAGCTTCAGTGATTGGGTTTCTGGGATCGGCCTGTGGAACCGTGGGTGGGGTCGGCGGCGGAGGCATTTTCGTCCCCCTCCTTACTCTCCTTCTCGGATTCGATACTAAGTCTGCTGCTGCTCTTTCCAAATGTAACTACTAATTCTTGAGTCTTGACCGGTAGATATAAAAAACTTAAACTTTGCGTTGTGATTTGGATTATGATGAGTTTGCAGGTATGATGATGGGGGCATCGGCATCACCAGTATGGTACAATTTGAGGGTACCACATCCAACGAAGGAAGTGCCAATATGAGACTATTACCTGGCCCTTCTGTTTCAGCCCATGCCTATGCTTGGAATCACTGTTGGGGTTTCACTCAGCGTTGTTTTCCCGTATTGGTTCATCACCGTTCTCATCATCATTCTCTTCATAGGTCGACGTCCACATCACTCATTAAACAAAACTATCACCTCACGATCATTCATTTGTTACGCTTATATAATAAATTGGTCACCTTTTTGCTGAGAAGTGCTTGTTTTTCTTGGGCAGGCACCTCCTCCAGGTCCTTCTTTAAGGGAATTGAGATGTGGAGGGAAGAGACTATTCTAACGGTGAAATTTTTATTATTTTGAACTAATAAAAATATTCCATCCATTCACAGATGCATTTGGTTACGGAGAGCAACTCAATAGTCCATAGCTTTTTTCTTGTAATTTGTATCGATATCTGCAGAATGAAATGGCCAAACAACAAGCGACTGCTGCTACTTCCCACGATGAACGTAAGACAAAGCGAAAACGTTGTCATTCTTATATAATGGTTGCTGTATTGGGGTTCATTTTGTATGAGCAACTCGTTAAAACTATCTTGGATAACCAATCATTTTGTAAACGGTAGGGAGAAGAATATTTCGGGTGACAGTTACTGTATTTCCTGAAACATGCAGTTCTGGTCCATACAAAATATGAACCGTTGATTCCGAAACCAGAGAAGTCAGCTTTAGTATGTAAATTTCTTTCTTTGTTTTTTTTAAATTAGACTCACATATTTCATTTCATTTGGGGTGAGAGGAATTTATTATTATTTTACTTTCTTTTCAACCCTACGTACAGCAAAATCTTTGTTTCAATCTTAGGTGGAAGGGGCTGTTGACGGTAATGATTGTGTGGATTTCTTCCCTGCTACTTCAAGTCATCAAGGCAAGATCTCTATCTCCCTCTTCTTGTTCTTCGCCAACTAAATAGTCAAGTTTTCAATTTTTTTATTCTAAACATATTTTGGTGTGGGTCATCAGCAGAACGACGTCGAGACTGGCGGCGCAGAGTATTGGGTGCTTTTCTGCTTACAGGTCTGATAATTAACAAGCACAACTTATTCCATGACATGCAGATGGTGGGTTCAGACTTGAAAAGGATTCTCCTTTTGGTTTCGTATTTATTTTCCAGTTTCCTGTGGCATTAGTGGTGTATAGGTACGAAGCGGTGAAGTTGTACAAGGAAAATAAAAAGAGGAAGAGCTCAGGGAACCCAGAATTATTCGTATGTGAAGCTTCAATAGAGTGATTGTGAACCTTGCATTCCGTGGATTCTGTGGAGTCTTAGGTGGTACTGTACGAGGGCTCTTAGGTTAGGTTTGGTATGAAGTATTAAAAATAAAGAATAAGGATTAAGATTGAGGTTGAAAACATATATTAAAAAGAAGTTTAGCATAAGTGATTTCTTATCAATGGGATTAGACAGTCCCATATAGATAAGATTGAAGAATATCAACTCCTCTTATGATATTCTCTAATCCTACATATATGAGTTTGTCTAATCCTAAGTATTATACAATTATTCATGCTAAACACTCTTTTAATATAATTTTGTATTTTCAATCCCAATTTCTATCTCTTATTTTTAATGTTTTATACCAAACAGTATCTTAGTTCTTAAGTTCTGGAGGCGGCTTCATTCTAGGCCGGTAGGCCCTCTTCTCCTTGAGATCGGTGTCATCCCTCAGGTACGCTTATAATACATATCTCCTTCCAACTTTTTCTGAACATCAACCTATGTTTCATTGCCATATGGATCATGTTTTTTCAATTGAAGGTTGCTAGTGCTACGGCAACAGCTGTGATCATGTTTTCGTCATCCTTGTCCGCGGTTGAATTCTGCTTCCTTAACAGATTTCCCATTCCTTATGGTACTTTCCATTCGCTCTTCATTTTTCTTTGCCCAGATAAATATAGTCATAGGGTCATTTATCAAACTAAGATGAGATTTCTTTTGCAGCTGTCGTACTACCCGATTTTTAATATAAGATCTCGTTTGAATTTTATTTTAGTCCTAAATATAAGACCCTAATCTACTTTGTCTCTAATATTTATATTTTTTTTTCAAGATAGCCCTTCTAACAATAGTAGTCATAACCAATATACTTGATTAACAAGGATATTTTAAGAAAGACAATATCTATTTATGACAAATAACTAATTTAATTTTTTTCCTTAATCTCTTCAAATTAGTCAAGTAGCTCTTATAATTAGGACCAGAGTTAGTGCCTCATAACAATGTCTGTGTTGGCTGGCCTTTGGGGTCAATTCTTTGTAAGAAAATAGGTCTCATTTCTTGGGCGAGCATCAATCCTGGTGTTCATCCTCTCAGGTGTTATTTTCTCCAGTGCTCTCGCCATGGGTAATTTAGTTCGTCGTCCCAACCCCTTACTGATTGAAGTTTAACTCTATTAGCCTAATGTGTGTTTGTGTGTGTGTGTGTTTCTAGCTGACTCGACGTAATTTCTTTTTCAGGTGTGGTTGGCATTGAAAAGAACGTTCAAATGATCCACAACAATGAGTTTATGGGATTTTTGGGGTTTTGTGGCAACCGATGATCTAGATAGTGAGATGGGAAGCAAACACAGGGGGAAAAAAAAGGTCCCCACGTATACATTGAAAAGGAGAAGATTGAAGAATACTGGTCAACGCCTGTTGACCTGCGGGAAGATCTTTCCTCCAAGTAATAAATGTGCAGCCTGGACCCCCTCCAGTGTAAAAATTAGTCTTGCGGTGGTATGGTTACTCGCTAACAACCTTAAACCTACAATAAGCAACATCATATGTCTGTTTGAGCTTTTATACTGCGCGCACACATATAAATATTTTATCCCCGCAGGTATTCATCAACTGCAAAAATTTCCTTAAAACATAAGCAGTGATATTAAGGGCTTGTTATATAAGTAGAACGGTTAATT